GTCTTGGATAACATATGATGCAACAATACCACCTGAGAAGATATTTTTTTATAAATAAATAATCAAAGGTCCTAAAATTACAATGAAAGGACAAAGATATATATGACACAATAAAAACCAAACTACAAAGGTATTAAGTTGTATTGGGTCATTTATATTGTGTTCTATACGTGCGACTGAAGACGACCACATGTTCGAAATGCTATTACTATGCTGTTATTATAATGTACTTGTCTATACACTGTTATCAAGTTTTGTTCTTTAATTCGGCTTTTATCGTCCTTATATTACGTACAAATTTTTTTACAACTAATATATAAATAATAACGGCATAAACGACTGGATATTTTTAATACTTCGCAGGCATATTTTCCACATGTAACATTTCATACGTGCAACTTAGAAGATTCAATGAGGTACTTACTTGATCTCTTGCCTTTTCACCGATGACAACAAACATTGTTCTGTGTCCCATAACAACGCCATTTTCTATTAAAACTCGTATGCGATTATCTATCTTTTTACGGACCATTTTAATAAAATTTACTCAGAATTCTTTCTTTATAACCTTAAAATCACGCTGCCGCAAACCGTACTTCTGCTACCTTAAAAGCGAAGTGAAACAGTGATGGGGATATAATGTGGAGTGCCTTTTCATTTAGAGTGGAAGTGGGAAATTTAAAAGGAATATAGTACAAATAATATATATAGTAGGGGTAACCAATCAGAACGATTGTTAGAAATATGATCAAATCCTCATGCCTGTATCAGGCTGTGGATTGAAGATTGAATTGAAATTTGGCCAATCAGTGTAGAATACACTAAATTTCACTAAACTTGAGTTTAGTTAACTTTACACTGATTGACCAAATTCAATTCAATCTCAATCCCCAATCCGTAGTCTGATACAGGTATCGGGGTTATATTCCAAAACTCGACGGATAAATAGCTTTTAATTAACTAATCATGACAAAGAAATCTTTGCTCTTTCTGATTGATCAATTAAATGCTATTTTATATGTTGAGTATAGTTTTAGAACACAGTTTAGCTATCTTTTTTTCATCGAAAGCGTTTTTTATGATTTAATAGTAAATTGAACGCAAAACGATGACATTGATAAGTTATATTATTGTAACGTTTTCATACATATAAAAGTATATGTATTTATATTTAGTTTTCAGATCAATATATTAAATTTAATTGAAAATTTATTATAAGTAATTTAAGTTAAATTTTAATATCAGAGACATTTGAAGTATTTACTGTAATTTGTTATTATTTTGTTAAATGTTGGAGGTGATGATTAAAAATAAGAAAATTTATTCTTCGATTAAATACTTGATCCTTACTATATATTCGGAAGATTCGGAAAAATTCGGACGAATTTGTGTTCGAACGTAGAGGAATTTGGTTTTATCATCATAAGTTCGTTCTTTTTAGCTGTACTGCCTGTACCAGTAGGTCTGTTCGTTTTCGCTGCACCGCTGAACTGGTGCAATAAGTTGAAGAGAGACAAGTATATGTTTTCTCACTTCAACTTATTGCACTAGTTCGGCGGTGCAGCGAAAACGAACAGACCTAGTGGTAGAAAGTAAGAATGAAATTTTGTGCATAGTGGGGATCAAAACTACTTTGGGCGTAGCTATGTTCAGATCGCAACCGATGATCTAATGGGAAAACTAATTTTTAACTAATTTGTTCCTTTTTAAATCATCGGCTGCGTCTTGAACTTAGCTGCGTCTAAACCATTTTGATCCCTACTTATGCAATTGAAGTAATAATATACATCTTTAATACGTTCGTAGAATCAACTGCGTGCGCTTTGTGATATACCGATATATAAATAAATTTGCTCTCGCGAATTCAACGAATCTCCGTGTTCTTTTTTACCGCTCGAGCGTCGATTTTAAATTATGTCGAATAGTTCAGGTTTGATTTTCAGCGCGAAACGTACATACGCGTTCCCGCGTGATCCGAGTTGCACAACATACCCGTTACGTCACGCATCCGAAATCAAACAGGTTCGTGTCGTTGATCGCATGGCGCAAGCTAACCTGTATACCGCGTTTACGTCGACGATGACGATTTGAGAGACAAGTTGACCCCGCGAAAGTGACATGTCGACGCAACGGTTTGTTTATTCGATGAAGAGACATTGACACGCGTCATCGTCAATGATGCCCGCCGATCTGTTGTCGCTCCTCGCAGCACGAACTTGGTATCTATTTCGAGTCACACGCAATGCGTTAATCGTTTATTTATAACACATCGCTGTGCCGCTTTTCCAGCCGTCGTTTATGAAGTCTCGACATAACGTCGTGTTATCGTGAAACGTCGTTAAATCTGATTATTTTCTCTTTGCTGTCGTGCGCGAGTTATGGACGAGATTTGGTTCCATCTCTCCAATCAGATTGAATCGTTGCAGGTAATTGTACCATCTTTCGTAAAAATACTTCTTGCGCGCGAGATCGTGTTTTATATAATATTTTTATTCGCGAAATTCTTGGAATAATTGAGGAATCTGCTATATTGCATGATAATATCTTGATATGATCTTAAACTTATTAATGTATTCAGAATATGTTATACTTTTTATTCATAAATTGCGTTAATTATATAAATTTGTAGAGTTTGTAGGAACTATATATATAATGTGTAATGTATACGTGTAATGTATACATGTTTGCAGGAACTATATATATAATGTGTAATGTATATATGCACATATATAGTTATGTTTTATATATTTTTTATTTTAGTATTATGCAAAAGCTATGTTTGAACAATTTGATATAACAATAAAATATACTCGTTTATATAAGTCTTAATATATGACATAAAAATAATTTGAGAAGATTCAAGCATCGGTGGTAGCTCAACAAGGGCAACAATGGTGTATACTATGGCTGTCTCAACTTCGTCAGTTTCTACAACAACTGTCTAATGAGGAAAGCATACAGCATGTAAAGGACATTGCACTGCATATAGCTGCTTCCACACAAAGCAGTTTGAAAGACATTCAAATCCACTTTCACAATACCCACTGGAATACAATAGACCTATGTCGCCAGCTTGGAATCTTGTGTGCTGGTAAAAGTATGTCAATCACAGCGAGGTTTTAAATTTTAACGCACTCCCCTTCTCGATTATTACTCGATTTTATTTTCCGTCCAGTATCAAGGAGAGACGCGATATTTTGCATAACCGGTGTAGCCGTTGGCACCATGGTAGGCTATTACATGGGCGTTAATACGAAACTACCTTATAATAGTTACACGAATGTAAGAGCTATAGCCTGCTATCGATATGACGATCTTGAGGTATATCATGCGCAACGTATTTCTGTTAAATTCTTAGCGCACAGGCATTACCTCCGTCGTGATTGCAGAATGTGTTCATCATGGAGGACAGAGAAGTACCAACGATCATAAAGCCAAAGGAGCTACTGATATGCGTTTACGCCGCTTCAGTTAACGTTGTCGACACGAAGATATGTTCCGGTTACTCTAAATTTTACAGGAGACTGCTTAACTCAGGAGTAAGTGTGAGCAAACTGTATCACGAGTGTCTCCCCCACCTGGTGCGGTATAATGTCGTTGTAACGTTCGCACAAATATGTATGTATTCAGAAACAGAAAGGACTACCTGTAACTTTAGGGAGGGATTGCGCAGGGATGATAATGCACATTGGACGCAGTGTTATCAACTTCGACGTTGGAGATGAGGTGTTTCTAGCCGTTCCATCGTGGGCACCTGGTACGATGGCGGAATACATAATCGTCTCAGAGACGCAAGTAGCGAAACGGCCTAAATCCTGCTCCATCGAGACCTGCGCCAGCCTGCCTTACAACGGTTGCTTGGCGTGGGACGCTTTGGTCAATAGATCCGTCATCAAGGAGGGCAACGCCAAAGGAAAGACGTAATGCTTTCGATATTTCTCCTCGTTGTTTCCTCTCGGTCTCGTCTCTAATACGCCAATTGACGCCTCGATTTTGTTGCGTCGTTACAGTGTTTTCATTTACGGCGGATGCACTCCGATCGGTTGCATCCTTACGCAATTGATAAAGCTATGGGGTGGTTACGTGTTGACCACATGCAGAAGGAAAGCGAAGCCCGTGATGAAGACGCTAGGCGCCGATGACGTGATAATTATCGGCGAGGAAAATATCGAGCAAAATTTACAGCTGTACTATGGGTACGGAGGTCTGATATGATGGTGAATTCAAGGGGCCGAGATCACGTGACGTTCTCAGTCACAATGTCACATCTCTGTCGCAGGTTCGATGCGATTTTTTATACCGATAGCAACGAGCCGTTTGAAGAACGTATTCTGAGGAAGTATTTGAAGCCGAACGGTTCCTACGTCTCCACTGTTCCTGAGCAATTAACGTCGGACTCGTTGGGATTTATATGCGAAACTATATTCGCGGGATGCGTCAGGATAAAGCTGTTGGTTCAGGTGCGTTCTAATTCGTTCACGTATGGGACTGCACAAATTTGTTAAAAAATTAGACCGATAAATTTGAAAGGAAAGTAGAAGACTTCGAAGTAAACACTTTCTCTTAATAATATTTCTCTCTACGTCCGATACACTAAGTATTGTATAAAATAGGATTAATAAACCAGCATGGCTGCAGCGAGACAGCAGCAGAGGCTCAATGGAGGAATTTGATTCGTCCATAGTTCATTTATTGAAACATCGTAAAGAAAACTAACAGCAACAACAATGTTTGTCTCGAAGTCCCATTTCCCTTCCAAGTTTGTCGGTCTGACTTTTTAACACCTTGTATATCGACAACGAGTTGGACTGTTCATCCGCTTTCCATTCCAGTACATATTCGGGTTCAACGTGCATCAGTGGAATGAGGGCGCGAAATTGAACGTCGCGTATCTACGAGTCCTACGCGAGCTGGTCGACGCGAAACAGTTGCAACCGGTGGTGGGTCAAGTATACACGCTGAATGGCTTCAGGCGGGCGTTATCTCAGGTTCTAGATCCGAATTCAATTGGCAGTACGATCATAATGATGAAATGATATATTTTCGTCGACTCGCTAGAAAGTTTCACGCCATGACTACTCTTCTGTACGCAACACTGTAGCGTGTATAAATTACACACGTTATCAATGGGCATTCGCATCATGGCGAAGCAGAAGACTAGTAGTTAAAAGACACTCGGTGCTGAAGACTGACAAGCGCACCGAACGAATACTCTGTCCTTTTTCAAATTACCGCCGATAGTCGCCTTCACGAGAGTCGAGGAACGTTGACGACAATAATGCAACGAAAAACGGTAGAGAGTCCGATGTTCTGGAGATCTTTTACAGAAGAACCTGCGCGACGAATCATCTTCCGTCGCTTATCACGATGGAACTTATCATGTAAGGAAGCACGTGCGTCGTTCATGAATATCACACGTTATATATTTTATCAAATAAATAGAGAAAATTACAAATTCGAAATTCGTTACTTCCAAGCCAAGGTGTAACTCGGCGTGAGGATTTGTAAAAATAAACGCGAAACGTACGTTACATAGTGAGATAGGAATTCGAGGTGATCGGGGGAGCTGGTGTTGCGCAAACGAAATTTATAGGATTGGCATGCTGCGGTGAATTCCCGCTGAATTTTACAAATGTCATTCTCATTTCGCTTTACCACGGAACTTAACGTTTGTCGTTCCCTTAGTCTTCTTGGCTGGCGTCTTTTTCTCTTCTATCTGTAGAACAATAAATAGGATCATTTCACTGAAATATCCAAAGAAATCGAGATGTGTGTGTTGTGTGTGCGGTATGTTTGACGAGTAATTTACCTTTCGCTTTGCCGGAGTAGAGGAGTTTGGTAAGACCTTGAAGAACGAATCGAGTCTGCCTTGCGTGGACGTGTTTCGAGCCTTGTAAAGTTTCTTGGCGCCATTTCTAACTCGCTCCTCGTTAAACTGTTTGTCGCCGCACAGGAACTTCACCAAACCATCCTCATCCGGCTCGGACCATTTTAACTTGGGAAGTGAAAAGGTACTTGATATGTTGTGAACTTGTTCGATGCTATGATACGTGATGTATCTAGAGAAAGATGAGAAATTATTCGATATAATTACCACGATATCATCAGTGCTCGATACTTCCGGCTCTCGAAACAATGATCTTGCTTCTCCGTAATTCCAATCTTCCGGCACGGGAAATTTCTTGGTGTCTATATTCTCGACTATTTTCTCGAGAGACCTGTGATTCTTTATCAATTCTATCGCCCTCTTAGGCCCGACGCCTTTGATAGTGCCGGTATAATCGCAACCCAACATGATGCAGAGATCGATGAACTAGAAAGGACGTGCCATCTCACAACAATTGAGAGAGATAATATTATTATCAAGCAAAAATGCGCACCTCATCGTGATTCAACTCCAAATCTTCGAGAACCTTATCGAAATGAATCTCTTGCACAGGTAATTTTCTAGACTCGCTGAAAGTCAAACGACGGAGTAGCACGTTGGAGCCAAAGGTGAGCGCGTCCATATCCTCCGTAGCAGTGGCGAAGACTTTGCCGGCTTTAACTAAAGCAGCGCATTGCGCTTCGGCTTCACAAGGAGCCTGCACGAAAAATATTGACCATATCAATTAATGAATAATCATAATTGTGTTCACCTAAATACTTACATCGATATAGGGTATCCCCATTAATTGGAGCAATTGCTTAGCTTCTTCAACGTGAGTTCTCGTAACTTTAACCAATCTCCTGCTAAATTTGTCTATAGCTGCCGCGTCTCCTTCAATCAGAAATAACGTCTGCTATGAGAATCTTCTATGAGATCTTGTTTACAAAATATGACAAGCTCAAATGATTTTAACATATTAACTGCCGTGTGAGTTAAATATAACTCATATGTGTTAACACGTTCGCTGTCAACTACGAGTATACTCGTATATTGATTGCCTTGATGATCTTCTATGCAAAGCACGAGTTAATTTATAGTATAAGCACATTAATTTGGATCCTTGGCTTGTGAATAAAGCGGAGAGCACGTCTGGTGGCTTGGAAGAACAAACTATGAGGAACGTGGCGGCGAACGTGTTAAGAATAATTATACAAACACATTTGATACAAACACATATATGTACGGTCATTACCATCTTCCGCTGCAGCTTGCAAAAGTTTCTGTGCCTCATCTCTTCTCTCAGCTCTTTTGGCTAATTCTCCACCTTTGAGATTTGGTGGCTTACCGTCAAACACATAAACAGGCTTTATTCCTTGTTCTACCAAGCGTATAGTACGATAAAATGTGCCCATTAAGTGGCTATCCAACAAAAATTAATTATTGATTAGTACTTGTGCATATTCTATAAAAAAATCAAATTGAACTTTATCAGGCTCTTAAGATATAAAACCAAAGGGAAACGTAAAAAGGCCTGTAATAGACCGAAGCACAGGTTATTCATGTGAATAGTTGAAAATTGTTCGAGTCAATTAGTATACAAACTGAAAATTATTAATTGAGTATTTAGAGGTTTAATTAATAATTGGGATACAGAATCAGTTTGACGTGAGAGACTTTTTGTGTACGTTTGTAGAAGTCTGGCAAATTTGTCAGTGCATGCGATAACTGTCAAACATATATATTCCTTCTATATAAATTGATGTATATCAATAACCAAGTTCTTATAGGTCTCTTTATGTTCCTTTATGATTATAAAAAAATCACTCTTAAATTTACACAGGAAACCATTGTACACTTAGAAAATATACCTGGTTGTTTCACCATCTGCAGTGGTCAGCTGAGCTCCTTCGCTGCGCACAGCTATGAGAAACTGATACAAGCACATGGACGCATCGATAGCTATTTTGCGACCTGAAACGCACGCAGTCAGGCATTTCAACTTATTAAACGCTCACAATAAAACGTCCAACGATGCAAAGTACATTGGAAAGAATACTCGAGAGAAGGAATTGTCAACTTATTCCTAACTGGGGAACAAAATTGAACACAATATAAAAAATACATACCAAAATAATGTTTCAATTCTCGCTCTTTTATAGCTGCCGGAGCTATATCCGCTATTAACTTCGATAATCCCAAAATACCCATAGCGGTTCAATAATGTTTATTACGCACGTAGGAAAACAATAATCTGTCAGACGGCAGACATCTTCTAACAATCAGCTTTCTCCCGCCAATTTGTACAGCATGGAACAAAACAATCGGGAATCAGGTGCATAGAGTGTGAATTGAAAGCGAAAGGGCGTCTGTTTTCTGAAATTCAACGGGCTGTAACTTTATTTAAAATGATGATAATAAAATGGATAAAAAAAGCATTTTAAGCCGGTAATCGGATCTTATATGTAAGACCGTCCAAGTTCATCTTCAGACATTTCATAGCCAATCAAATGAACCGTATACCATCTGAAAATAAACTTAAGACGGTCTTAAGTATAATATCCGACTATGAATATCAACCTTTGCCTGCTGGATTGTTTACTGAACGGAAATGCGCCAATCGGAACACAGTATTTCTTGTTTGTCTAGATCTTACTAGATTTAACATAAAAACAAGCACCCTGCGTCGCGGGTTTAACTTACGGTTTAAACCTACGTAGACCCACGTGTTTCATACCTTAACCTAAAAGAAATATTGCGTATGTTTTCTCTCACTCTTTATTTATTTAAATCAAAATGACGAATAATTATGATTTAATAAAGACTATCGAAGATGATCAAGAGGTAACGGATTATTCAGAAAAATCGGACGAAGAAGACGATGTAAGTTGAAATGAATACGTTTTGTTTCAAAAACATGTTTATTTCATATAATAATACTTTGTTAATAAATTTAGGTTTATTATTAGTTGTTATTTGAAATTTGTCTCAAATGAGATAGTCTTGAATTCAAAATTAGATATGAGTTTTTCAGTTGAATCACGATTACAAATATAATGTTGAGTACATCATATGATTCAATTGAAAAATTCAGGTCTAATCCTAAGTTAAAATTTGAATATCTTACATGAGATAAGTTTCAAGTAAGAATCGTTAATGTAGGCCTTAATATACCTCGAGTGTTATTTTTCAATTTTTATTTTTTAGTTTCAACCACGAAAGCAAAAGAAAAAAGAAAGTAAAGACTTTGACAGTGATTTCCAATTCATAAATAATGTTACTGAATATAATCACGATACTTGGAATGATCTAAAAAAATATGTTAAACGGAAAGCAACAACGAAACTAGATGATAAAATAAAGAAAATCAGAAAACAAAACAGCAATCAAGTATGTAATATTGCTATTTTTACATGGAGACTATAATTGTGTGCAAAAATTAACACTTTATAGAATATTAATTTTTATTGTAATAAATATAATACTATTAAAAAAAGTAATCTATTATTAAATAATTCTTAGGTTGAGACAGAAAATAATTTTATTAAAGTTGAACTAGATACAGATCGAAATGATGATTCTGTTTTGCTATCTGAGGAGGATCTTAAAAAAGGTATTTTATATATATTTATATTTGAGACTTTGCTTAAATATAACAAATTAGTTTAAAAAATTTATAGTTTTTATATGAGTGATTCTTACTGGCATGAGAGAGATAATATATNATTATGTAGTATAATATATACTGACTATATGAATTTATAAATGTGCAGGCAATAACAACAATGAAATTTTTGAATCCAACTCCTATACAAGCTGCTACCATTCCAGTGGCTTTAATGGGCCGCGATATATGTGGTTGCGCAGCAACAGGAACTGGCAAGACTGCAGCTTATATGCTTCCAACTTTGGAGAGATTAATATACAAGCCGCTGGATGGGCCTGCCGTCACACGAGTTCTCGTACTCGTGCCTACCAGAGAGTTGGGAGTGCAAGTTTACCAAGTGACGAGACAGCTATCTCAGTTTACCTCGGTAGAAGTTGGTTTATCCGTCGGTGGGTTGGACGTGAAAGTACAAGTGTGTAATTTATTTCCCATATAAACTTCACAAATTGTCATAATAAAATCGGATAATCGGTTTCCTGCATGTTTCTCAAATATGTTATTGCAGGAGAGCGTATTAAGAAAAAATCCAGATATTGTGATAGCAACACCTGGAAGATTGATCGACCATTTAAGAAATACACCTACTTTCTCACTGGATACTATCGAAGTGCTAATTTTGGATGAAGCTGACAGGTAAAAGAAAACTAATTCAATAAGAATTATATCATAAGATGTATACATATTACGCACTAACAAAACACTAATGTTCTGTTGATTGAAGGATGTTAGATGAGTACTTTGCTGAACAAATGAAATATATCGTGAACCAATGCTCGAGAAGCAGGCAGACTATGCTCTTCTCTGCTACTATGACCGAGGAAGTCAAAGATTTAGCCGCGGTGTCTCTCGACAAACCCATTAAGATATTTGTAAACAGCAATCAAGACGTAGCCTTCAACTTGCGTCAAGAATTTATTCGGTAAGTAAATGATTATTTTTCATTGCTGAGACTTGTACTGTACAAAGACTGTATTCACAGTGTACGCAAGGAGAGAGAAGGAGATCGCGAGGCGATATTAGCAGCCTTGATCTGCCGAACTTTCCACGATCATGTTATGGTTTTTGTGCAAACGAAAAAACAAGCACACAGATTGCACATTTTGCTGGGATTGCTAGGAATAAAAGTGAGTAAATTACCATTTAATACCTAGTATAATGTATTTAATAGTATTGTATTATATAATTGCAACATATTAATTATTTTTATTTTTATTTATAATTATTAAATATATTATAAATATTATTTTATTTATAATTAATAACATATTAATTAAATAATATATTCGATAGTAAATAATGTAATAATAATCGCATTGTTTTCGTCTTTTTTAATATTTGCAAGATCGGGGAACTGCATGGAAATCTCACGCAGCCACAACGATTGGAGAATCTGCAGAAGTTTAAGGACGAGCAGATCGACATTTTGATAGCGACTGACGTTGCTGCGAGAGGGCTGGACATAAGTGGCGTGAAAACTGTTATTAACTTTGTGTTGCCCGCTACTCTTCAACATTATATACACAGGTACAGAGCTGTTAAAAGTTTCGACCAACGCATTATTCTCGTGTGCATGGCTCACAGAAGGAGTAATTATGTTTGTTATTACATTAGAGTTGGGAGAACTGCGAGAGCAGGACGCGTGGGTGTTTCTGTGTCGTTAGCCGGCGAGCAGGAACGTTCCTTGGTGAAGGATATTATCAAACGAGCGAAAAATCCGGTCAAGAACAGGATAATACCGTCGGATATAATAGAAAAATACAATAAAAAGTTACAGTCCCTGGAACCGGACGTGGAGAAGATTCTGCAGGAGGAGAAGAACGAGAGAGAACTGGCCAAAGTAGAGAACCAGGCGAATCGCGCTGAGAATCTGCTCAAAGACGCGGAGGACAAGAATCAGCGGAGTTGGTTCCAATCTAAAAAGGAAAGAAAGACGGAGAAAGGTAATGTGTCGACATTTCTTATTGTAACATAGTGTCGCATGTGCGCCTGCGAATTGATCAACGATTTCGTGTGATCTTCAGAGAATCTTCGGTTGACCGAGAGACAGACTAGCAAGAATAAGAAACGCGAAAAGGAGCCTTCCAATATAGTGGAGGATAAAAAGAAGAAGGTGCAAAACGAGCCCAAAAAAGACACCGCTGAAGATAGAGCCAAAAAAGAGCTGGAGAAAATCGCTGCTTATCAAGCGCGATTAGCAAAGAGGAAAAACAAGCTGAAGAAGATTAAGGCAGTTACGGACGAGAGTAACCGTGACTTGTCTAGAAAAGGTACAATTTTACATTGTTTCATAAAACTGAAGGAGAAAATTTCACAATGTTAAAAGAACTACGAATTCTAACACAAGTCACGTTATTTTAGGACCATCGAAACGATCGAAATCATCGTTCGCCGCTGATTTAACAGACACGAGCAAGAAAGGTGTGAAAAGAATGCGGTATGAGTAAGTATATTCATACATATCTATATGTATTTCTAGACTGGCATTCTGAACTTTCTTTTATTGATAAAAGCGCCCTAAATATGACTTTTCAGCCAGTCAGGTAGTTCCTGAATCACTTTCAGAAGCACTTTTATCGATAAAAGACAGTTCAGATACGGGCTTGTATCTTTTATCACAATTGTAAAAGAGATAGCACAATAATCTCTGTTTTTCCGCATTGCAGAGCAAACATTAGGAATAAGCCAAATGCGCAGCGCAAAAACAAACCTACAAGAGGGAGGGTTCAGAAGAAATCACTTAAGAGACGTTAATTTTGTAATACAACTCGGTTGTATATTATTATAAACATATGCCACACTTCACTTGATTTTTTTTCCTTTTTATTATAGAACCATTACAATACGCGCCATACGTCTCACAGATTGACAGATGAATAGCACTGATTAATTGGTTTGTTTAATCAGATTATGTATACTTTTCGTAGTCTATGACCTGTTTGAGAAAATTGCAGTACCATGCCGGGAGATCGTATACACTCGCAAAGATATCGTTTTGACAGTATCAATGCCGATCGCAGAAAGGTACTTAATATTTGATAAATAGTATGTATAAGTTAATTAACGATATGTTAAATAAACCATATATATCTATTTAGAGAATTGATGCTATGTATGATAAAAATAATGATAATGGAGATAAAGGGGGAATCATATTAAATACATATATCTATGTGTAAATTTGGAAAAAAGAAATTATGCAAAGTTTCAACGTGCATTGTACTGTAATTTCTATGAAGAGGTAACAGGTATATGTTAATTCTATTCATAATATTTACGTGATTTCACTCATCCATCGTCATTCACGAATTCATTCTCAATCTTCATTCGCACTCTTCGAATTTAATATAGTTGAATGTGTAAGTATAATAATCTTAATGTTCAAGAATTTAAATCAACCTTTAGAACCTAGGCCCACATTTAAATTACTCGAAATTCCGTTCAAATTCGTACCCAAGCCTCTTCTACCTTTTTACTGGTTATTATTATATGTCATGCTTACACAGTATATGCTTATATGCTTAATAAATAAAATTGGAACGTGTCTTTTGTGTAAAAAGGTCGTAAGAATCACACGTATTTATCCAAGGTGTTACGCAATGATCTCTTGCAGACGATACACAATTTTAATTTTACATTTATTTATAAATACAAAAGTGTCGATGGTTTTCGCAAATCCTCGCAAATTTTCGTTTCTATCGTTACACATAGATCCTATTCCGATTTGCAATAAGAAATCAGTGAGATGAAATAGCGATATTATATATAAATATTACTTATTTGTTAAACGAAAATTGCTTATTACTGCCACAATGTAACATCAATATATTCATATATAAATTACACGGGAACAGTTGGAACTGTTCTCATGCGTGATTCATGACTGATGTCGAAAGATTCTCTTATATATTTTATAAATTTAAACACACAACACACACTTAACTTCTGATTAGGCGAGCGCAATAAAAAATACACCAAAGTACTTCAGCTGAGCGTATCTTATTAAGATTCTATGGGGACAATGTTTCATCAACTGATTGCAGGTATAGAAGAATTTTGGATACAAATTCGAATCAAACACAATCGGACAATCTTACAATAAGCAGACAATGAGTAAATAAGACAGTCATATAAATCGAGATAGAAGATATTAACGGCGTGAAAAAAGAAAAGACTATCTTAAACATTAAGACTTCGATTAACTCTTTATAAGAACACCAGTTTGATTTAATATCGATGTTTCCAATGTGCCAATGTATGTCGCTCATAAGAGAGAGAGAGAGAGAAAGAGAGAGAGAGAGAGAGAGAGAGAGAGAAAAAACTGTCTATATAAATATTAAAATATTTTTGAACAAGAAAAATCATTCGTCGTACCAATCAAACCGACACAAACATTAAATTCGCCGGTAAATAAAACAAAATATAATTTTGAGTAAACACAAAGTTGCATCACATTCGTGAATACGTTTTCCTTGACAAAATCATTGTGTTCATACAAATCCTGACTGAATAATCATCACCGCTAAAGACTAAAGACCGCTGTGGCGCGCGATGGGAGTCATATTACTAATAATAAAAAAAAAAAAAAAATCCACATGATCTCGGATCACAAACGCGACAGTCATACAATTTTTATAATAATATGTATTGTTTACGCAACAAAACTATAGTATTCTCCTTTGCGGTTCATAAAGTGACAATATACTCGATACATCTGGATATACTTCTTTTGCAGAAAAAAATGGATTTGCTTTATTCACTTGTCAATAAAGTATGTTGACAATATTGTTTATGTATATATATATATATATATTTATATATATATTTATATGTATATGCTTGCTGTGTCTAAACTGAATGCTATATTTTTCTTTCATTAGCAAAACAACACGATTCATCGGAAGTAATCGCGAAATAAAGACATAGAAAAAGACTTTTTTCCATCCGTTTTGTATGGTGTGCAAAAAGTGAACAATACTATGATGATCAAATGCCACCCGAATAAGAGCATCAATTCAAAGAATCCGTTATATATGCTTTGTAAAAAATGACCATTCCGACTAAACAGTCATTCGGGAAAATTATTTGTTAGTGACGATGCGTCGTATAATTCATAGAAATAACGGGAAATATACGCATTCGTACATTTCGGTTTTGTCATATGACGAAAAAAAAAAAAAAAAAAAAGAGAACGCATTCGCGGGTCCGTATGTGTTCTCTGTGAGAAACCAACAGACTCCTCGTCATTTCTCTTTATGTTTTTTTTCTCATTTTACCCACAAGTTGCAAGTCCGATGGACTCTCTCTGAATTGTAAGCCTACACGCATTAATTATCATCTGACGTTACTGTGTCGTAATCTTAACATCTTACATTCTAGAAATACACGAACGACTTAGGTTTATTAATTGTACATAACCAAAATATTCTGTTTTCTAATTTGTAAAGTATCTTTTTAGATTCTTTAATTTTCCTCATCATCGCACTCTTTATGTCTTTCCCCGTCCCATTATCCCCAGCGTATAATATTTCAATCACTGAATTATTTATTTACTTTGTCCGATTCTCTTAATGCCCTCTTGGCCGGTGGTTCTTCGATCTAAAATGCAGAAACAGGCGACGAAGGAGAGATTAGAAATATTGTCCGGTCACATTGAGAAAGTAGACTAAACTTAGATGTTAGAAAACCGATCTACCTCTTCCTCCAAGCCAGGCAGTTGAATCCTGGTTTCTGACGCTTCGGCAGGCTGCAAATAGATTCGATTGAAAGAATGAACCCAACATGTCCCACGCATACCATGCGCCCCAACGTCACATTAAAAAAAAAAGAAGAAAATAACACATTACATTTTAACGTTACACCAAAGAAACATTACCTGCGCATCGATACATTCCACTTCTCCAACTTGTAGCTTGAAATCATAGTTATACACACGCGAAAAATTAAATACAGCAAGTTTTATTAATACCGGTAAGATACAATTGATAGGAGAAATGTGTACATTACAATGTCTACATCGAATTAATCTACATTGAATCACAAGTAAATCCAAGATCCAAGAATTATCGCGATATCGTTCCAAAAAGCTTACCCTTGCATCTGTTTCGTTAGGTCCAATGCCTACTTCCTTTTGCTGTTTGGATTTGGCCCTGCGCTGCGGTCTGTCGCTGACTGAATGCGCATTGTGGAATGATCCCTTGCCCTTCGGAGTGGTCATGTTCACTTGCAGCTCCGCGGGCAAGTAATTTTTGGTGTTGCTCAACATTTCGTCCGCCGTGCGCTTGAAATACATCGTGGGGATTCGCGTCTCGCTGGGGAATTCCTTCATGTCGAAATTGGTGGTCTTCGTGTATATTACATTCATCGCCAGGTCGCAGACTGCCCATAATTTCTACACGCAACAAAGAACATTAGTACGAAGGATCGCTCGGGAGGAGCGATTTGAGGTTAATCCACGATAATTACATAGTTCATGTCGTTGTCCTCAGGCTTCAACGCGTCTTTGTGACTCTTCATACGTTCCACGAGATTTTTGTAGAATCCGTAGCAATAATACTCGTTCTTCGTGATGAGAGGTTCCAGGATGAACCAGAGACACTGCTGGATGATTTTCAACTGGCTCACCATCGAGTGACTCGTGAATTCGGGGTCGTGCGCGAGGATGGGTACCGCGAAAACCAACATATAGTCCGGTAATATATGGGGCAATTGACCTGTGAGATGACGAAGCAACGTGATGAATTCTCGACTATGGAAGCAGACTGTTTACGCGTGTAGACTGTTTTTCACTATTTATTATCGTACCCATAGCCCGCTCGACGGTACCCAAGGAGAGTGTCTTCACGTAATCCCTTCTCTTGTTTATGTCTGTCTGCATATACGTTTTCAGAACGCATTTTAACCTTTTGTCCTGTTCTTTGCCAGCCAAGGCGTAATATCCCATGAAATCCAGTGGTAGGCATTTATTTGGAATCCCTCTTCCAAGACCTTTGTGTAACTTACTGCCAAAAGCTTCCCTGACCTGGGAAACTTCGTCCTAAAAACAAGCCGATATTTGAATCTCGCGCATGTTAAAACGTTTATATCGCGTATGATAAAGAGAACAATATTATATAGGGTTTACCAAAAGTGTGGTTTTTGGCAAACCTTGTAGATTATTATACTATTATTTTTAACTTACCACCATGAGTTGTGAAAGATTGTAGAATTGTTCCGCGGTGAACTGGTCGCCGACGCCCTTCTGTTCGCATATCTTCAGCATCGAGCAACCGGCCTGCAATCGCAGCCAACTCATCTCGGCTTTGCTGAGACGTCCCTGCTGCAGCAGGTCCCCTTTGTTTACCACGAAAGCGTTCAGCATCCTGAACGTCTTTTGCGCCGACAGCACGTCGGTCTTTAATCCCAGCAACCAGCGCGCCATGCATTTCAACCCTTCCAATCTGCACCGTGTTTCCTCGGGCAACTGATCCTCCCTGCACCAATCCCCGTCGATAGCAATGGCATTTTGCTCGCTGCTCTCCTTCACTAGTAACTCTTTAACTATCTGCAGGAGAGAAATTCACCGGGTGCCGTGAGAAGGCAGACGAGACGTATGCAGAGAGGAATCTCACTGTCAATTATCGATATTCGCACTTACTTTTCTGGACACCATATTCTTTATTTGTACTTGATATTTCTCTGGCAAATTATACGCTATGTGGCCTAAGGTGACTATAGACGTCCGATAGTACTCCGACGTCGGCGTCAGGGTGTTCTTAATTCTCTCGATGATCTCGGGGAAAATGGTGTCGTGTATGTTAGTCATGTTAACGAACAAACATCGCACGGCCTGCTTCGCCTGCTTCGGCGTGCCCGTCTCGGCGAAGGTTTTGCATATCGGCACCATGAGATTCATGATATCCGGCGCCACATCGCACAGAGGCTTGTACTTGCCCAGGAACGTGAAGATCGAGAGGACCAGCGGCCCCACCATTTCGTCCTCTAACTCGAGCAGGTGGACCAGTTGCATCAGGATGTCGTTGTGCAGGAAATGCGGGCCAAATACGAACGAAAGCATCTGAAATATTCCGATTAATGTACTTCTCCGTGCCGTTAAGCTCCGTCGGTTCTTTGCAACTTGTCCTAGTGATGAATTCGCTTTAACATTTAGGGCGGTATTCATAGTCAGATCTTATATTTAAGATCGTCTCAAGTTCATCTTCAGACACTGTGCGGTTCATTGACTACGGAGCATCTGAAGATGAACGCAAGACGATCTTCGATATAAAATCTGAGCGTATATTATGGACTCGTTCGGAATTGATTCGATCGGCATCGTTCAGTTATTATAACATACACAAAATACAAAAAGAAATACAAGAGAAAATCTAGGGAATAACCAAGAGATTCCAAACAAATGCATAATATGTGTCCTGATTATAGTCCATATATTCACTATCAGTACTAAAAACCTATAATATACATGACATGAATTGTAGATTTTCAATATTGGCAGTGAATATACGAACAAGTCTTGAATGCGATGAATACCGACTTTAGTTTTGGAGTGCGAACGCAACTTACTACTAGCAATCTTAGTCCTTTCTCGCCAGCATTGTTCGGGTTGAGACCGACTTCTTCTATTACGTTGCCACCTTTCAGGCAATCCAAGACGTATCCGATCAAAACCTGATGTAATCACACACACACACATGTCACAAGTGACGAGATAAACTCTCCCCTCCTCGAGATAAAATACTTACTCGAATAGCTTCTTCGTCGATCATGACGGAGCTTACTCTCTCAAGCAGCATCTTAATCGTGTTGTAGTACAGATTGGTCATAACAGGCTGTCCTAACTTTTTAAGAACCATACTTATTGTGTCGGCGCATTCCTTGCAAGAGACATTCGGTTGTACGATCGTCTCCATTCCTTGCAACAACATGGAATCCTTTCTCATGTGAATGCTGAACTTCTGGAGGAATTCCTGCACCTTTGTGGGATCCGGCAAGAAGCGCGATATCTGATGAACCTTGGTCACCAGCTCGTTCGTAATATCCGATTTCTTCACGATGTCTAACCACTCGACCACTGCTCTTCGTACACTAAGGTATATACGACGACAATCGATGAATCAAAAGAAAAACCTCTACTATAATCGTGAGAATCGAGATGCAAACACATACGCAAGCTGGTGCTTCTGGAGTTCCACGAAAGCTTTGGAAGCGTGATCATCGATTGTGCCTAAGAGATGGTATAGCTTTTTCATTCTTTCTTCAGCCGGCAGTTGATAAGGTACTAGGCACGTATTTAGCAGTCTCTCTACCAACAATCTGTCTTCCATGCCCGCCATATAATAGCCGTGCAATATTTTATCTTTTATCCAGGTCACCGCCTTTTTCGTGGCTTGCGGCACGTCCGCGTCGTTCAGGTGTTTCTTGTATATCATAGCCAGGCCGGACATTGCCTCTTTTCGTATTTTGAACTGAAACAAGACACGATCGTTAATAAACAAGGTATCATCGATATTGCAATCGAGTGAACGACCGATAAAGCTCAATGTCCAACTTTTTTGTCTAGAGTCCTTTCCTTAACGAATTCCAGCAAGTCCTCGCTGTCGGAGACGACCTCGAAGTCTTTTCTGGCGGTTGTCACTATAGCCATAACGACTTCGTAACGGACGCTCTCATCGGCGTCGTGCTGCCTCATCTTCAAAGTCTCCGTGATGTCCTTCCTCAGTTCGGGGTGATTCAGCAAGAAATGCATCGAATACTGCACGCACTTAATACGTATAGACACGCTGATATCGTTGAATCGTCCTAAAAACGCCCTCCACAACTGAGTGTGCTGTACTGCTAATTGCGAACCTTTCTCAGAGAACATTCTCGCGAGTAGCGCCACGGCACCTAATCTCTCAGTCTCGGAGGAGGATTTTAGTTTACATTCTAGCTGCGGCAGGACGGACAGCAAGACACTCGGACATATGTGATTCAACTCGTAAATCAGGTCGTACACCTTCTTGCATATCTGCAAACTCTTCTCCTCTTTGCCCAATATCAAGACATGATTGAAAAACTGTAACAGGAGTCATTTTACGCGTCGAAATGAGAAATGGTTGGCCGTTCGTCATCCGAGACGAGAATCTCCGCAACTACTCACCGCTTGTATGTACGGTTCTAAAGTATCGCTACACTTGATTACTAGCTCTTTAGCGAGCAAATACGCATTCTTCTTCTGTGTCTTATTTGGCTCTACAATGTTCATCAATATGATATCCAAAAGCTCGTTACTGACGATGTCAGATTCGGTGATCAGTGGACACAAGACATCCAGCATGAAGCTCTTAACTTTGCCAGAATGCTCATCGCTGGATACAAATGATAATAATCGTAAGATATTGCGGAAACTTTAACAATCGCCTTTTCTCTCTTGTTCTCAGTTCGTACTCACTTGACTATTCTAAACATGAGGGAGAACAATGCACAGAAGATCTCTTGGCAATCTTCTAACTCGAAGCACATGTTGAATGATTTCACATAAGCTAAATTCTCAAGTAGATAGAAATACCTCTTAAAGGCGGGATCCTTCGGATCTTTTAAGCCCGCCAGTTGTTTAATAAGAAATAAAAATATTGTTTTCACCTGAGAATTTCATGTCGAGAATGGCAATGTTAGATGTTTATCAAACCAAGTGATAAATTTTACTTAGCCAATGTGTGAATAATAAATCCTTTCAGCTGTAATTGTAACTTAAATCGTTACCTGATCGGCATCTTTGTAAGGAGCCTCTGGAGCATACACTCTTAAGACATCTGCGATACAGCATGCGATAAGCAGTTGCACGTCTTTGCTCTGATGCATAAGGAAGTGCTCCTCTGCCAAATGCAACGCAAGTGGGATGTATTGCTGATACATTCCTTCATCTTGTCCCATGGCTTGCAATGTGTGTGCTAATGTCTAAATATTTAGTATATTTTATTGCTATATGAATCTTATACAAGATACATATGCTTATAATAATAAAATATGCCTTATTATTATACCTTGAGTCTCCTGATTAACTCATCTGGGCCTAAATCTTCAGTGACTGACCTGCACCCTTGCGGGTACACAATTTCCGACATGGTGGCTGCTATGTGAACCAACCGAACGTAACAAATATTTTATCCTTAACGTATTCTAAAACACAGTCCAAATTCTGTAATATGAGAACAATTATCAATACTAAAAACATTTCACAATTATATAATTTTATGCTATATTATTGCTTAAACTAGAAACTAGAACAAATTTTTTAAATAAAACATGTTTCTTGATAACACTGTTCATTTATGAAGCCTTATAATATATCAAGTGATATATTATCTCATATATATACTTCCAAAAACATAATCTTATTTAAGAAAATAGCCATATAAAGTTTGTGGCAAAAAACAGATGTAGCATATATAAATTTATACAAAGTTGTAGAATTGACGTATGTGACATTTTAAACTTTTATAAAGCATGTGAGTCGAGTCATAAATGATATAACATATTCAATGCATTCAAAATCACATCCTTTATGATAGCAAAAGTAAAGACAGAACGAATTCTTGTGACATATCTTAGGAACAAAAGTTGATAGACATAGGAATCATGATTTAATATACATTAGAAAAAGAACACATTAATGATACAAATATCTTAGTAGACAATATTTAGCAGCAAAAGCTGTGGCTTCCGTAGAATAAAGAGATTTCTCTATCTCCAGCGCATTCTCCAACATACTTTACATGAGGTACCAAGATGAGCATACGTTTAATTTCACGAATATTCGAGCGGCGTACTAACGGGACAAAACGCTGAATTTGACTGCATGTCATACCGATACGTTAACAGGTGTACTGATTATCGGAGAACCGAACGACCGTTGATCTCATGGCTTCGAGGTTATGTGCATTCGCCGTGCACGTATACAAGCCACGACGTAAACAAAATTCTCACGTAACGACGTTCACGAGGCACTCTCGGGGACGAAAATGTCGCGGCGGGACGGGGAACGAGCGGTATTGTCGTGCTCGAACGTTACCTCAAGATATGCATAAGCACCGCAGGGCCCGTGGCACTCAAAATATCAATAAAGCAAATATATCCGATGAGGGTGCACAACACAGTAGATCGCTTCTTTCAGGATGCACACAAGCGACCAGCCTGCAGCTTTCAACTTCGTGATGTACTAAGTGCGCACGTATCGCCTGCGACGTAATTTACGTGATTTTCTGTAAATACTTGGCATGGTAAAACGACCTGGACGTCAACGGTGAAACGGTGGCGAAATCGTTCTTCGTAAGCGGTTAAGCGTGTCAAAGGACGCGACGGTGCAATCCGATCGCCTGAAGTTGCCCGCGTACCGCCACAACTATGGCGGTGTGACGCGACGAATCCGATTGGTGGACGCCACGTCGTGTTGTATCGCGCCGTACGCCACGAAGTTTACCGCTGATCCCCCTAAAGTTGTCTCGAAATCGAAGCTTCATTGCGCGTCCTCATGAGTCTCTCTCGCCCGAACAACGCGTATTCCATAGAAGGCATCTAGCGAGCAATCCAGCGCGAAAACAAGCACCGTGTGCCGCTGGCTTTACTTATACGTTTCACATGTTCCGAGTGCAGCAAGTGCGATAGAAAAGTGCAGACCAATAATTACGGAATCGCTCTGACCGGAAATACACTGTTATCCGGTGGTCCTTGCAATTTGCACGTGGAACGTTGTCGGACGTACTGGTTCAGCGCTGGTCAGTTTTACTTGATACAAATTGATCATCTCGACCAGGACAACAATTTATCATGGTAAGTGCTGAATTTAACATCAACAGACATTTTAGAGAATTGTTTTCTTTTCTTAGTAACAATGTAACATATTAATTTGGGGGTAGAGGGGATTGCTTGGATCACTAGACTAGGTTAGATATCAAAGCCAGATGAGACGTTCTCATTATTCAGATGAAGATTTCCAATAAATAGTTGTGATAATGAATTAATGCCTCGTATTTTTCAGGCAAGTACCAAGGTCGATAATCCTGAAAAACCAGGACAAGAAGTTGCCCCGATTCATCGAATCAGGATCACGCTCACGTCCCGCAACGTTCGCTCCCTCGAGAAAGGTGATACGGAATTGAAAATTAATTATTTTGTTGCATATCAAGTCAAAATTCATTCGCAAGCTAATACTTGTATTGCTTTAACTCGAGTTAGAAATTTAGTGTAATAAGTATCTTAATATGGTCTTTTCCTGTTTTAGTATGCTCGGAACTGATCAATGGGGCCAAGAAGCAAAAGCTGAAGGTTAAAGGACCTGTCCGTATGCCTACCAAGGTTCTGAGAATAACGACTCGTAAAACACCCTGTGGTGAAGGTTCGAAAACATGGGATCGATTCCAGATGAGAATTCACAAAAGAGTGATCGATTTATATTCGCCATCAGAGATTGTGAAACAAATCACAAGTATTTCCATTGAACCTGGTGTAGAGGTAGAGGTGACGATTGCTAATGAATAGATAATTTTTATTGAAACTGTGAAAATGTTTTAATAAAAATGTAAAAAACTGAACCCATGAGAGTAACTTCATTGGAATACCATAACCAAAAGCATGAGATTTTTAAGCAACGTGAAATTTCTATATTATTAGCTATACTTGTAGCTTGCATTTAAAGAAAATTTATATAAGATTAATAACAATATAGAATAATGCTTGGAATTCCTCATCAGGAGCACAGAAAGGGCTTAAGTCTTGATTTATTGTAATAATATAATTTATAAAAAATTTCAAAAATCTTGGGAAATACAATTTGTTCAACTCCTTACCATGTTTACATTAAATTATATGATAGCGCGACAACGAGATTTATCAAAATTGCAGCTGTTAATGAATAAAACCGTGCAAATACATAGTTGTTAATTAAATTTATACTTTATTTATACATATATATATATATATGTATATTATAGATTTTCAAATTTCTTCTTGTGATGGGTCTCTGAATTTGTCGTTTTGCTCAGATCCCTCACCGCCGCTGAAATCACCATCCATTCCTTCCACCTCCTCCTCGTCGTCATCGCCCGCAACTTCTGCGTTTTCTAATTCCGCTCGTTCCATTTGTCGCGCCAATTCTGCCTCGTCCGTAGCAGTGACCACTTTCGGCTGGAGCGTTAAAAGAAAAAAGAAATTAATTCTTGGTTTGGCACATAAATTCCGAACGGACGTGTTTAGTTTGTGAAACTTACCGCCATTTGGATGTTGAATACACCTCCGAGCAACGTGATCTTATCACGAATTACCTCGATTGCGTCATTTAATGCCTTCAGGCCGTCCTGTTTTTCCGGTGTAGATGTTGTCATAACTGAAATACAATAAATCAGAACATTTTTAATCAAGTACACACTCGGAAAACGGAATATGTCACATACCGTACAAGGGAGGAGCAATCAAGTTAATTTTGATGGGAAGTTCTTCGGTGGAAAGAGCTAAGCCAGTCTTCAGTGCAGCCTTAACAGCGTCAATTCCCTCGTAGCCGTAACACGCTACTTCCACATCTGCCCTGATCTTCACCGCTTGGGAGGTAAGTTTCCGTTTGATATTATTTAACAACACTTCCTTCGTGTGCTCGTCGAGGCCACATTCTGCTAAAATAGAGGGATCCCTAAAATTAGACAGATTCATAAATATATTGTATATATATTTAGGTACATTTAATTAACATAACCATTTCTATAAATATTTTGTGAATATTTCATATCGTGCAGTCTTAAGCTTCTTTCCTTACAATACTGATTGTTTGAAGAAATCATAAGCGGATGCTTTCTGCTTCTTATATTTTTCCTCAAAGTACCAGGCTGTCTTCTGATACAGTTCCTCCAGCTGATCATCGCTGTCATAGTGCAGCAGTTCCGCAACGTGTCTTAAAATTGAATTAACGGCCTTAGCCTTGGCGTATCTCTCTGTGCATTTTTCTACATCCTCAGCGGATACACGACGTTTGCTCAGATCAATGTAACCTGAAGTCCATGATTCATATACAAACAACTTAAAACATGAGAAAATTGAGTTACACAGATCTATAAAACGCCTATATATTACCTTTCTCTTTGTCTACTCGAATAACTACAACTGGTTCAGTTTTGCCTACTCTGATAAGTTTATTGATAGACCTAATACGTCTCCTGGACAATTCAGAGAGCAATATCATGCCCTCAATGTTGTTATATTCCAATAGGTGTACATAAGCACCCATTTCAGCTATACTGCGTACATTCACCATCACCACATCTTCCACCTCGGGATACTTCTCTTTATAAAATCGACACGCCAGCACCATGTTTGCTGAGAGTATACAAGAAATTACATTAACATGTATCGATATGTAACGTTAGAAACAATACCGTACGAATATAATATAGAGAATATATGAAATTTTATTTAATAATATGTCGACAGCAATTGCGAAAGATAAGAGCAGCCCTCTTCTCAAAGTATTTGCGTGTGAAGTAAAACCGATAGGTTAACTTACTAGGTTAGTATTTTGAAGGCTGCCAGGAAATAACAATATTGTTAAGATAATCTCCTAAGCAAGTATAACCACGTAACGATTAAGTCTTTTATTTACTTTGCACCGACTGAATTCGCTCAGAAACGTACGAACCCGCACGTGGCTCGTCAATAATAAACCATGCGCGACTTAGCTTCAATCAACGTACCGGTTGATAGCAGCTGCGAAAAGAGCACGAATGATAGTAAATCTACGCGTTTGCCACTACCAACTTAACAATTTTATTAGTCTACCAGCTGGAGCTAGTATTTCATTCGTCGCACGCACGAGTACGTGCCGGATATGCCGATTGGCTGTTGAATGGAGCATTTCTGAAGTCCCTAATATTTTTTTCAGGCACTCTAGAAATTCTTAAGCATTATGAACATTCAGAATTTACCACTTGCATATATATGAGATGCGATAATGACAAGAGCGCGCGCTAACCAATCATTTCTCTCTTGTAATTTTAATTTCTGGAGAAGCAACGTTCAGTCGTAGCATAAATTGCGAGTTGTCTTCTGATGAGCGTCGACATATTGGAAACACGTAGTTGCATACATATTTGGGTGTGTTCCTTCTAGCTACATTTCTTGTGAACTTTCATGCTCATCTCCACGACCTGTTGTTCCATGTTAAATCTAAAAGGCGCAGCTAAAATGTAACGCTAAAATGAACGGACTAATGACTGTCAATTAAAAAGTTCAAAATTATTCTTTTATTAATTTAATGTTGTATATAATGTCATTTATCACTAAGCCTTACGTCTAATTTTGTTGACGCGCGTAAAACATTTACAGCTGTCAATTTGTCAGACGTGGCTACGCGAGTCATGTGACATACACACACACACACACACACACACACCTGTCCATTGCAAAGTAAATTTAAATCACTCGCAAGAGACAACGATCACTTTACGAGGAAAATGACAAATTGTTCGGGAGCAATTGAAAAGGTAATGAAGAATGAGGAAACGTACGCAGATGAAAAAAATCATGAAATATATGTATACAAATATACATATATGTACATACATAATTTAAGTATAGTCATCATTTTTTTCCTTACTTATAAATAACTTCATCACTTCTGTACTTGTAAATTTTATAAGTTTTTTCTTCTATGTGATACATCTTTACTGCTCGTACGATGGATTTTGCATCCCGAGATTTCTCAATTACGGATTGAAAAAGGGGGATAGAAAGGAAGACAAAAATATTGATAGTTAATTCCCTTTTTGCTTCGACACTTTTTACTCGAGAGAAAAGGGGTTTTTTTTTTGTTAAGCGCAAGCTAGAAGAAGATTATAAGGAAACGTGAGGGGATTCGATTTCTCTAGTCAGTTGATTTCATCATTCACGCATTTTTTGAAAAATCCCAACCGTTATATTTCTCGCGATATATTACTATCGCAATTTCCTGAAGGATTGTTTCCTTCGCGATGAGTAATAATTGGACGAAATCGACGCCTGACTGTCCGATAACAAACACTCCATTGAAAAATAGGTGCTGCTGCATCAAACGGGAACACCTGTGAATCTAAAAATGGAGACCCGCTTTTATGCAAACAATATTATTCTACTTTTATGCACATTTTTAACTCTTAAGTACGCGCAGAATAATTAAACATCAGATCATTTCATATGTTTTATACATGAAACATCTCTTGTTAAAATTTTGTACAATTGAGTTAGTACAAATTTTACTTGATGCGATAAATTTTTCTCATTAAAATTATTACACCAAGTTAAATTATTTTTCTCGGTAAAATCTATAAATTTTTCCATTTGCCTTAGTATTTTCACTCGGAAAAAATTGATTTGGGATTGTACAATTTAGATTTCAAAAATCGATTAAAGTGATGGAATACAAATCGCGGATGTCGAAATTTCATCAACTAAAACCTGAAACACAATGAAGTGTACATCAACTGGATAATTGCCACAAAAGAATATGCATATATATCATATAATATATAAAAAAAAAATAAAGGTTTAATCGCTCGGAAGTGTATGTAATTATAATAGAGTACGCTTCGCATTGAACATTGAATCAAAAGTTTAAAGAATCCACTTGCAAACACGTACTTGTTTAATACCCTAAATCTTACATAAAGATGTAGTAGCAACAGCATCTATTTTTTTTTAATATCCAGATAATTAAACCGTAATATAACTTGTATTTCTGCTAAACGTCTAAAAAACTGGTCGTTTCAAACGAGATCCAGGAAGAAAGGACTTTCGCGTATCACGATTCGCATCCCGTCAGTCGTAGACTCTCAGAATGTATTTCAGAATCTTTGTAGACTAGGCCTCGCATAAAATACAAGACATTATTCGACATCCAAATTTTACACTATACTCGATCGTCCTACCTTCTCCTCCTCAATTTTTTACCCGAGTGATCGTGCTCGCATTAAGATCCTCTTGTTGTTTTTTTAGTATCCGTTGACGATTCCCGTTTACTGAATCCGGTTTCTGAAATAGGAACAAAACGTCCGGTCGTATCACGTATCGCATCTCACCTCGCACATTACATATACACATGTCTGTTACTCACCGTTCGCTATAGCAGCCACATCCTCCGCGTCCAACGTTTCATATTGCAACAAGGCTTCCGCCAGTTGCTTGTGCTCCTTTGCATGGGTTTTCAGAATCGATTTCGCTCGTTCATACGATTCCTGGAAAGAGGATAGTGAAATGACAAGCCGACTTAATTGTAGTAAAATTAATTGATAAATTCAACATGTAAAGTGCAATTAATAAAAACTTGATTTAAAGGAGATACTATAAGAGATAAAAAAGAAAAGTACGAATTTTTAATACGATATTTTCAACTGAATTATATTAAATTAAAAAAGAGAAAAATATATATCTCCTCACGCAGATTATATCTTATTTTTCTCAAACAGAAGCATGACATTTTTTATTACATTTACCTGCAAAAGCCGCTTCACTTCGTTGTCGATGACCTCGTTCGTGCTGGGCGCGTACGAGTTATCGTTACTAAACAATTTCTTATTTTCCACTATTGATCTAAATCCCACTTTCTCCGACATCCCGTAATTCTTCACCATCATCTCCGCGATCTTCGTCGCTCCCTGTATGCAACAAAGGGAAAATGTTCAAATTCTCATGCAATCTAAACATCTCTACGAAAAGGTCTCGTGAACGAATATAATGTAGTAAAATTAAAACTACGTTATATAAAGAATTCTGAGATGAAGAACGTACGGCCAGATCGGAAGAAGCTCCTGTTGTTACTTTCTCCGGCCCAAATATCAATTCCTCCGCAGCTCTACCGCCCATCATCGCGTCCATGTTGGCTAGCAACTGCGACTTCGTAACGTGGTAAACGTCCTTCTCATGCATATAAGAGGTCTAAGAAGGGTAAGAATAAAATTAGCAAATTACAAATTACGAGATCAAGCGTCACTCGTCACAAAAATGTTCCAAATCGATCGTTAAAAAAAAAAAAAAAGTAATTTCGCGACAAATGTGGCAAGTACAATTGTGTATAAAGCAAATTAGTACCATTAAAGCAACATATAATTACGAGTAAACCGGAATTAGACTACATACGTGACCTAACGTCGGCCCTCGTGGCACGATGGTGACTTTGTGAAGCGGCGTAGCATCCTTTGTAAAAAACGCCACTAGAGCATGCCCTGCTTCGTGGAACGCCGTGATACGGTTGACTTCTTCGTCGCGCATCTTCAGCTTGCCTTCAGGGCCCATCAGTACCTTGTCTCTAGCGTACTCGAGGTGCTTCATGGTTACACAATCCGCCTCGTCGATTGCTGCGCGTAACGCAGCTTGATTTATCTGCAATACATTCACACATTATATGAATGATGTGTATCTCACGTGAACGACATCACACGAGATGTGACTTGATGTTTCTTACCATGTTCTCAATATCAGCTCCCGTGAAACCTGTGGTGCAACGTGCTAGGTAAACCGTATCGATCTCGTGTGTCAATATCTTGGATAGGTAAAGGTCCAATATCTCCTTGCGGCCGAAGTAATCAGGCTTGTTGATGTAAATCTCAACGTCGAAGCGACCAGGACGCATCAGCGCCTTGTCGAGGTCCTTACGTCTGTTCGTGGCACCGAGGACGATGACACCTTCGTTTTGCCGGAAGCTTACAAACAGAAGATCACAAACGATTTAATTAAAAGTTACATTCAAATATAACGATCAAACGTTAAATGATAATGCGATAAAAAAGTATGCATAAACTCTCACCCGTCCATTTCGGAAAGTAACTGATTGATCGTCTGATTTGCGTAAGGATGAAGAACGGAATTCGTTCTTTTCGCACCCACGGAGTCGATTTCGTCGATGAATACTACACACGGCGCCTTCTCCTTCGCTGCTCCTGCGGAAACGCGTGTACAAATTTTTTATTGATGCGATTCAGGATAATTTTCGAACGGTAAGTCATTCGAAAAGGAAAATCGCTCGTACGACCTCGCGGTATCTCGTAATTTTATCAATAAAAATAACTATACTCGCTACTCACTGAACAAATCTCTAACACGTCGGGCACCCTGACCAACCAGGATCTCGTCGAATTCAGGACCCGCCACATGGAAGAACGGTACACCAGCTTCTCCAGCGACCGCACGGGCCAACAGGGTTTTTCCTGTCCCAGGTGGACCGACTAACAATACTCCCTTTGGCAACTTTCCGCCCAGGGCGGAAAACTTCCCGGGATTCTTCAAGAATTCCACGACATTCAGGAGCTCTTGTTTCGCCTCGTCCACCTGTAATTTTTATTCGCTTGCTCATCGCTGTTTTCCTACGTGCTTCTTATGTTTCGCCAATCATACAGCAAGTATAATAATTTTCTCCGCAGAAAGACAATCCATCTTAACTAAACGTGTGGGAAAAATTAAATATTTATCGTTTCCCCCCTTAACGTCGTTGAAAGTGACGCTGATGTCTTCAGGGTCAATTTCGATCCTGTGGCTCATAGGAAGCTTGAATATCCCACCTCCTGGGTAGCTAACTATAACATAAATAGTAAACATAATATGCAAGTGCACATAATAAAGCGTTCAACGTGAGAAATTTTCAGCACGGAATATGCTTTAAAGAGCATTCTCCTTTTCTACGTACGATAAAGCCAGAGTACAAGGATGACCGCGGAGGCAGTTATTATATTTTGCAGGACCTTCAGCCACATCGTTCGACCTCGCATCTGACGCTGCACTCCGGATTCGTAGCCTTCTACGAAGGCAATTTTTATTCTCTTCTGCTCGTCCGCCGTTGCTTCGGTATTGTTGAGGACCTGTTTCAGCTTTTCATAATCTGAACTCTTCCCTTCGTGCATCAAACCCTACAAGCATGGAATCTGTTAGGATAGAATTTCTCTTGAGAATTTGCTGTAATCACAGTGTTCTAGTAAACCATCGACTCTTGTTGCACTTTCACTGGAGAATTTGGAAAAATTAGCAAAATAAAATGCATGTTGTACCACATGAAAATTAGAGGACAGGCCAAGCCACTTCTTTATCCTGCTTATGACAGTTGGATTTCGCTCCAGTTCCATCTTTATGCTGCGCTGGGACTTGAACGTGCGAATTTGCATGTCACTGCAGTGTGACGTCTTGACATACCACGTGTGCAACAGTCTACGTTGTTTTGATGCTAAATGAGTAACAGGTAAGACAATGGGCTCCTTTAGTGGATGGTAGAGGAAGCCCTGTTTGTTTTCGGTAAAGCTTAGGCCGGATAAGTAAGACACTTTCCATTTATTGTTCTCTTCCAAAGGTCTTCTAAATAAGCTAAGAGCTGCGTTATCCAGCAATACGCATACCTTATTCTCCTTCATTTTTAACGGAGTCAAAGCAGTTAGTGGAATTATTTCCAGTAACTGTGAGCAATTCTTTGTTGCCTAAAATAAATTATAAGTACAATTTAAGCACATAATCATAGGAATCAATTTGAAACATAGATTGTTACATTTGCCAAATCAAGTTGGAAATAAAATCACAAGTCTTTTGAAATAATTGTTAACAGTAAGAAGTGAAGGATTTTTAAATATATTCTCTTTTATTTCAACAACTTTTAATGTTCAAAAACTCAGGATTCCTGTTTTCACACAGAACAGAAATCATTAGGCTAATGAATCTTTCGCGCAAGCTCAACGGACATTACTTGCAGAATCCTTTAGCTGAAGCTCAACTAGTGTACGAAATATTTCTCAAAATTATCATTATAATTCTTATATTTTGTTGCATTACGAGATGTAACTTAGAAAGAAATGTATCTCATAGAGATTATACCTCCTCGAGGCTATTCGGGCAGATATCATCAGTGGTTTTATGTTCATCCCGTTTCTTAACCTGGTTCGAATACGACGTTCTAGGAGTCACTGCTAACGTCAGTTGTGTCAGATGGTACAACACCTAAAAGTCCAAAGTCACTTAAACACACTCGGATCAGGTCATACGCTTGACTCTCCCTAGGAGTTTAGCGAAAGCAGAAGACAGAGCAAACGTTAGGTTTCAATGATCAATGAAAGACGAGATACTTTTATACATTCTCAAGGACAATAAAATATATGCGTATTGTTTAAAAGACACGCGGGACACGAGTGTCAGAGGTTGCTGATGCAATTGCGAGATGTCGTAAGCACAAACCTGATTGTGAGACTGCAGAGTGATCATGGTGTCGAGTCTCGCGGCGGGATAACTGGCGCGATTTAACGGAAATTAAACGAACGATCGCGGGGAAATGAACGACGTGTGAAAGTAACGTGCCTCACGGAAAAACGATCGATCGTCTATCGATCTTCGTCTGGGATCGCGGGGGTTTTCAGCCGCGAAGCTGGCTGGCCGAGCTCTACGAACCGCCTCAACCGTAGTCAGATGATCGATCACTTGTCAATTTATCAAGGCATCGGGCGATTTTTTTCATCCGCAACAGCCAACTGTGTTTTGAACGTGGAGCCAATTGATGGTTAGCCGTCACCAGCGCGAATTGTTAATCCCACGTAGATCCGTCCGCACGGATGCCGTCTCACACGCGCATGTCAGCGACGCCAGACGAAAGCGCCACCTCCCGCACCGATCGGCGAACTCGATCGGCGAGCTCAGTCGGCGGTCTCGTGCAGAAGGTGCTGCCGAGCGCGCGTTTCAGTTGACGAAAACGTCCACTCGAAGCGCCACCGCTCCGACTGTGCTAGTGCGGGGTCCCTCAGTTACCCTCAAACCTGTGCTCGTGTCGTGCGTCGTGCGTGTGAGATGTTTGTGCGGTAGGTTACGTTGCGCTCTCTCGGGCGAAATGACGTTTTGTCGCTTGTAAATATCGCCTCGCGCGCGAACGAGCAGCGAGAGCCACGCTGCCCCGACCCGCTACTAATCCCCGTGACGCCGACCGGGCCTGAACCCGCTGCCATCGTATTCCGCGTTGATCCAGCCGCGCGCAGCAGCAGCGCGAGAAATTTGTGCTCCACGCGCCGCGCGACCGAGCGCGCGCGCCCGTTGAGGTTATGACAAGTGAGTCGAGTTGAGGTCGCGACGTGTGTGTGTGTGTGTGTGTGTGTTGTGTAGCTCTCTCTCGCGCGCATCGCGCACCTGATGTTTACCGTCGGACCGTCGATTTCCCGGCGCAGCGAAGGTAAATCGCGACCGCCCGTCCGCGCTCGGCACCGACGTGGCGCTGCCTCGCACGCGTCCCGAGACCGCGGTCGCCGCGACGCCGCCGCCGTCGCCGCCGCCACCACCGCCGTCGCACGCTCCCGTGGGCCTTGCGTACCCTAACCTCTCTCTTCTCGTCTCGCTGTCACTCGGTTGCGTTGTTGTCCCTCGTGCTTGTTTTGCCTGCAACCTGCCTGCGACCTACACACAGGTATTTTCGCGTCTCTCTCTCCCTCTTTCTCTCTCTTTCTTTCTCTCTCTCTCTCTTTCTCTCTGTCTCTTTCTCTCTCTGGCTCTCGTCGTACCAGCTCGTCGCGTTTCCTCACATTCGCTTTGCGAACCGGCGATGCGTGCCGCCGTGTGAACGCCAATTGACCGCGGGATCGCGGCGGTTGCGTCTTGCTTGTTTATCACTTCTTCCCGCCGATGTATCTTCCCCCAGAACACGTCGTCTGTAGATGAGATAGACAATCAATTAGCCTCATCGAGCACGGTGGGATTCCCTTTCCTTTTCTCACGAGAGTCCGCGTGAAAAAAATGTGGATCGTCACTGCGACGGAGATCCGATAGCGCGTTAATGTAGTACGATTGCGAATCGGTTGTCATAATCGTTGTTATTGTTTAATTGCCTGTTGTCTGTCACGGAGGTACAATAAATCTGTTTGAATGAAGTGTTTTTCTTGTTGTTCCTTGGCGTATTTTCGAATGTGTGGAGAAAGAAACTCGCTTGATGAGACGTTCGCTCTATGTGTGTATGTGTATATTGTAACAGTTATTGAGATAAACATGGTGTGGTGTGATGCAATGTAACATTCAATTTGGTTTTCATACTTTTCGTTATTTACGTTCCTTAAAATTCCTCTTTTAAATTAATTGCAATGAGAACAGTTCGGATGGATAATAATTTGTATTTAGTTGGTTAATATCGCAATCATAATGTTTATTATGAATACTGTATACATATACATTTTTGCAAATTTGGAGCGCACATGCATACAAGTAGTCCAATTTACATTTCGTAAAACTTGTAGTAATGAAAAATACTAATTGCATAAGTAAAATGCGAATGGTTAATAATGTTGAGCTGATGCTTAGATGATGCGAAATTTTAATTCAAACAAATGTAAAATTTGATTGATGAATGTAAATTTGTTCGTACATACATAGGCATACCTTATTCAAAACTAGTTTTACTTCAGCTGCATTCATTTGGTTTCTTTTTACTTTTTCCTTTATCTCCTTCTCGACTCTGAATATGTATTTTCTTGTTTTAAATATAAATTGTAAAGCTGCTTAAACAAATAAGTCTCATTATTTATGGAGTTTTTGCCTTAAGATATATCTGCCTTTTTTGCCAGTTTGTGTAATAGATAATATTCAGTCATAATCAATCCCCATTAGTTAGTCATAACCGTAATATAAAAAAAATTCAATTGAAAATCGACAAATTACAATTACAAACTACAAATTACAAATTAATTACAAATTACAATTATAATTACATTATAATTGTATTACAATTATAATTAAATTATAATTAAATTATAATTACAATTATAATTACAAATAGTTATTAAATGATGCAACATTATATGTTATTTTCAACCATCCATTGCTGTTTACATAAACAGGTAGTATATATGAAGGGATGTATTTCAGAATATGAACGATTATTACCGCATCAGATATGACATCAATTGGCATCAGTAATCAGAAACTACAATGAGTGGTTTAACCCTTTGTCTAGAAGATGCGTACCAGCAGGCTCAGGTGGGTAGGAGAACGTTTCTTACTAGTTGCACAACACGACACTGATATTATCAGAATTTGTTATGAACATTGTTATGAACATTCATGAGATACCTGTATCATTTACGCAGGATATGATTAACCAAGCACCCAGATATTGGTTGAAGAATGTTCAAGGTCAGAATTCATTGGCCTTAGCGTCTGATAAATCTTTATCTTCTCAGAAAAAGGAACAGAATCACTCCAGGCATAGTATTCATGCCAAACTTACGAGACTCTATTTCGAAGAGCTTGCTAAGGTTCCTCATGCAACCCCAGATTCAGTCTTGGTAGGTCCATTCTCCAAAAGTAATTTCTTATCTTTATTTTCCTTGAGAAAAGATATTCTGCGAATATACCACGTGTTTTTTATATGCGAGCTCCACATCACCGTCACATTAATGTTCAACTTTAATTGTCACGCAGAACAATCTTGAGAATGAGTGCGACCTTTTGGGATTGTTAGTGCGAAGAGAAGGGTTACACACGTTAATCGTTAATCTCTATGCTGGTAATAAAGGATACTCATTAGCTGTAAGGAATAGGTAAGAAATCGTCCTTTCTCAGATATCTCATATCGTTTTTCTGAAATCTTCGGATGTCAAATAGCATAATTAATACTTCAAACCTGATGCTAATATTGAGCTATCATGACAATTAATTTACCAGAAAAGAAACTTTGTGATAAGAGCTATATTATTAATTTAAACTTTTCGTTCTTTGGTGGCAACCTACCTTTAGTGTCAGTACTGTAACGTGAATATCTCCATATCGCAGACATGTTGAGACGTGCTGCTTAATACTAGACTCGTAAAGCATTGAACATTAAATTTGCCGGGCTTAAAGTGTTTAACATCTATATCAGAGCAGCAAGAAGGAGAGAAATTTACGTTTCGCATGTTAGTCCATTAACGATTCGTCCTATTTTTGGAAAGAAAATTTCTTTATAAATCATAAGATTTTAACACAAACTTTCTCTCCCGGCAGTGATAAGGGGAATCAATACGATAAAAATTCACTAGCTGAGACACAGCTCATGGGTTACGAACAGGGTGAACTGCTCTCGTGCATAGACAATGGCCAGTTGCCAGCTATGCTAGCGGAACAACTGGAATCCAGTCACTCACATTTATTTTATGATGGCTGTATAGTAGCTGAAGTTCGAGATTATCGAAAGGCATGTTCTTATAACAAAGCTGATGTTCATCATAACAAAGCTGAAGTTCATCATAACAGAGCTGAAGTTCATCATGTACTTCTTAAACCAACGACACAGGTGAGATTCAGTGAGAGTCGGACGTATTTATGACAGGCACGTTAAATGAATTTGTAAACAAAGAAGACACAACTTTCATTTCTCAATACTTTCTTCACTTAGAGAAAACGTTTTGATCTCCGATGTAGGAAAGTCACTTTAAACAATTCATTAAAGGTTTTCACTTGAGATAGAAGAAATGACAAATTTTTCTATATCGATCCCCAATCTTTAGATAACACAATCTCGCCAATATTTTGTTGTTTGCTAATTTGATTGTGATTTAAGTTAAATATTGAAAATTATCGCTTATGCAGAGTATACTCTCAGACGTGTCAACACTTACAAGTGATGGAGATTGGAGTCATGAGGAACGATTAATACTGGAGTCACATCTGCTGGCAGTTACGCAAGGACCTCTATGCCTGGATCCAAACCCTATTCCCACTTTAGCTAGTACAAGACTTAAACAGTCCAAATCATTGTTTACAGACCCTCAACTCATACGACAAGCCAAAAAGTTCTCTCAGGTAAAACCTCTGATTCAAGACTCTTACTCTATTAATAATAAATTTATATATAAAATTATCTATACATTTTAATTAATGCCGTCTAGTATTTCAGAAACGATTGCAATAAAATGGAAAGTCTAGCTGCGAAAAATATTTTAAATAATAATAAATGTTCTGTATATATTTTCTCTCTCTCTCTCTCTCTCTCTCTCTCAATAACTACTGTTTTTTCTTGAAGAAGATATATATATTCCTATTTATTGCATCTAGGCTTTCGATCGCAAAAATTTCACAGATATTTGCTCGATATGTGTACATTGTTGCACTGCTTGTTATGCGTGACATCTAATATGCGTAATAACGATGGTAAATATAGAGAACATTTGTTGCTTGATGTCAGGTCACAGTGAATCGAAAAAGAAAATTGGAGCAGATAACACAGTCGGAAGGGCCGACGATACAGGACTTCATGCAGAAAATACGTGCGAAAAGGGGGTTAAAGACAAGCACTGCCTGCGTACCGCCTTCTATTACAAACCCTTCTCTTACAAACCCTCCTCTGCTTCCACCGAATACACCAGTCGACGTTTTAAGGTTTTTATACCAGAGCATCTTCTCACCTCATGATATTTTGCATCATTTGCATCTCATTCGCTATCTTTTCCTGATTCTTATCATGATATATCTGACTACATGTGACTAATTAGCAATGATGGATCGATTAGATTCGCGAAAGCATACGAGCGGCCACGAGACACAAAAGACTGTTCGCCACAAGTTATAGAAGAGTATATATTAGAGGCTCCAGGGAGTCAAGGTGAAATGGATCATATAAAGCTCTCAATCCTGCAGAGACCTTCTACTTCTGAGTACCTGGGAGAGCTTTATATGGACAAGAATCATCGGGAAGGGGAGAAGAACGGTTCTTCTTGCCGGTAAGCTTTCAATTATTAGTTGAAGTGTTATCGATGCTGGGTCATCAATGGATTGGTCCGAATTTTCTCTCGAATAATTTGGCTTAAAGGAGCCTACAAGATGATTATAACGTATATTATATGATATGATTGTAATATAATATTATTTATATTTACCTTCAGCTGAACAATTGTCTCAACGATGATGTTCTTCTGTCTAGGTTTACCTTAGGTACCAGAGCTGTGGCTAATCATTATTATCAGCAGTTCAAAGAAATATTTACGGAGGAGGGTAGGAAAAACGTGGTAATAAAGCACCTTGTACCTGGGCAAGTACCGCGTACATGCACTCCTGTTATGCAACGGGTACATCAACAGGTGTGTGGCCTATTGTCCTCCGCTTTTCTGTTTCTTTCATCTACTATTTATCTTATTCTACTGTGCATTCTACCGTACCACTTGACTGTGTTAGGTGCAACAGGCGAAAGCGGCGCAATTGGTGGCTCAACAGTTGCAGCAAACTCAATCCCAGCATGTAGCACAACAGGTTTGTACGCTCATTAGTTCGTCGATTTTACAGAGCTTGCACAGTGCTAGTCTCACGCCGAAACAGAACACTCAAAATATTTTCATTGGATTCGAAGATAAAATGACACGTAGAGAAACCATTTAGATCAATTTGGATCAGTTACAAAGGATAGACCAGTAAATTCCACGTATTGTTTCAGATTCTGTCGCGGGCTCAAGGGCAATTGAACACTTTGGCCGGTCAGGTAGCCTCGAAAGCAATGACGGAAGCCACCACTTCTGCGCAAAACAACCTGCCGTACGCGGATACCGCGAATATGCCACAAATCACTACTCAGAACGACGCCACCGCATTGAGTTCAGGTCAGTCTCTGACCAATGGCGGGCCAAACGCATCAACCTCCGTGCAAATTGATAATTCTTCATTGCCGGTGGCGGATAACTCCTGCAACGGACCTGGTTTCTTGGTCTTTCAAAAGTCAGCCAATACTATTAATAATGCAACATCCACCAGTGTTCCAGTCCTGGTAAGCTTCCTTTTCATCTTGTGACGGCTGCTAAATTTATTCCGGCCAGTCTCAGGCCCTGTTGACTTTTGAAAACACATTGATTTCTCGACAATTTGCAGCAGGCGCAATTGCAAGCGGGAACGCAGAACTGTATAGGCGAGACCGCCAATCAGAACCAAAATGAGCCGCCATTCAAGAAACATACGAATAATCCGGCGATAAGCGCTCTCGTCACTTCCCTCATGAATTCTGCGCAACAGTTCCAGCAACAAGCTGCAGGTATACGCACAAGCAAATGTTAATTTTTACTTCTTAAGAAACCTGGAACTATTTCTTATGAAACAACTATATAATAATCTCTTGCAATTAATGCATAGTATTAAACATTACGTCTACCATTTAAACGCAATTAGAGGTATATCTTCGTCCTTCCACTTATGACTGTTTTCATAACATACAGTTTAACAAAAAAGAAAACAAATTTCTTCTTACAAACAAATGATATTTTGTCCGTTTCTCCACAGCCAACGCCGCGGCCGCTGCTATGAACAACAATGCGCAAACTTCAAACAAGTCCAACAACGCCGCGATTCTTAGTCTATTAAATAGCACTCCTGCGAACTTAACACCGCAGAAGCTTCAACCTCGAAGGATCTCTCTTTCTAATACTTCCATCCCATCTCGAGTTATTAGTCATGGCAATGTGATTAATGTGCCCAACACTACCGGCCAAGTACGTATTACAGTGAACAAGGCGCGCAATTAATCCTTAATTCAACGTTGTACCCTACGAAACAGAGAGGTACAAGAGATAGAAATTTCACTCGACAAAGCTTTTTATCAGCGCTGCCAAACCAACAGTTAATACGTTGATAATTTCTACTTAGTTAACTTGGTTAGTTTCTTCAAGTAATCCTCTTTAATTGGCAACACTTTGATATCCGTCCAAATTAATCGTTTGCCCAATCGTCGTTACAGGTACGAGTGAGCCTAAGCTCCACTTTGTCGAGTCAGCTAAGTTCTAAGCAGCAACACGTGAAAGCGACTGCGGTGAGGCTCGCGCGAGTCCAGGATGTTCCCACGTCGACGCTTGGCTTATCGATGCCGGGACTCTCGGCTTTGCTTGCTGGTATAGTTAACTTTCCATAAAATGAATTACAAATTGATAACTGCATGAAATTAATTATAAATTAATTTACAATTGTTATATGTATATACAATTTTTTCTTTTTTCTTTTTTTCTTTTTCTTACGACGATTGTTTGTACATTTACGTTGTATTGTACCGTTTATTGTTCTTACAGGATTCGTTTAGAACATAATATAAATTCTCTGTTCTGTTTTATATATATATATATATAAGAAAGAAATTTATATTGTACGTACCATGACTCGAATTTCACGTGTATGTGTAATTCGTTGAAAACAGGTACACCGTCGGCGGACAATCCGATACCCGGGATAAATCCCACTTCGTCGCTGCTCGAACGGCTCACCGCTTCTTCCAGTCAGAGCAGTCAACCGGCGAGTCCGATGACAAGCCCGTCGCCGACGGGTAACGTGAATCTGCAGGGCGTAAACCTAACTAGTCTGCCGAATTCTATCAACGGTCTGCAAAACGTTCAGGTTGTTCATAGACATTTATATTGGAATGAAAGGTGCCGCTGAGCAGAATTGTTTAACTTGCGTTAACGTCACGCAAATGAGCGAGCTCACGGGATCGTACGGAAAAGCGGAATTTAATCGAGATGATCACTCGCTCGCTTGCGTCCGGTTAGACGATTCTGCAAGAGAGATTAAGATATAATATGGTGCTCATCTCGTATGACAGGTGTCGTTCCCTGGCCTGTCACAGCCCATCACGATGTCGTTGAATGTATCGGCGACGACCGGTGGCACCGTCACACCCACCGGAGTTATCGTCTCTCTGCCCATATCGTCCGCTACGAACACCTGCACGACAGTCTCGAGCGTTAGTATTACACACTGTTGACCTAATTCTTAAATGGCACATTCAACCCGGCTAATTTGCGTCTGACTGATTTTTTTTTTTTTTTTTAATTATCGTGAGGCAAATTATCAAAACAAAATTTAAGAAGAACGTATCGAAAAACAGGTACGAGTAAAAAAAAATACGAGTTGTAGAGCTAAAAAGAACCAATTACAGCTGAAGCAAGTTTATATAAGAATTCATAGAGGAATATATATATATATATATATATATATATATATATATATATATGCTGCTTCGTAATATATTCTTTCTTGATATTTTAATTTTTGGGCTCGTTACTCTCTTTTATTTTTTCCTTATTTTATAAGAATATTTTTGGAACCTCACGCTATTTCAGATGGTTCCCGCGACTGTCGTGACGACGGCCATCGCTGGCAGCACGCCAACAGTAGTGATCGCCAATCCTGCCAATGCTCATTTGTCTTTACCGATTGGTAAGATATCCGAAATAGGTACGAAAACATTTAATACTTTAACAAATATTTTAACCGAAGAAAAAGAATTATACCGAAATATACAGAGCGTTGTCATAGGAAACGACACGAATTGACTTAAAATCGAATAAGAAATTTGATTTTTTCCAAATTCCGGTTAATAATCGTGATAGTGCTTTCTTATTTTTTTTTTTAAATATAAAATATACAAAATTATTTTTTCTCATACGATTTACCTTCGTGCGGTATATTTAAGTATTTCATGGAACATGAATATGTTTCAGCCCACGCCCAAATAATAGCATCTGGAGTAAAAGGATTATCGCAACAAAACATAAGGAATAATAACGCAGTGACTCTTGCGCAGGTATTTGTTTCTAATTAAATTAGAACAATACGAATTTACGTGTTGTTTATTACATAATATAGCACGTGATGCATTAATAGATATGTATAAAAGTACATATAAAATTGTCTTGTAACACTGGTCCTTTCAAATCTAACTTTTGCGGTGCAACCGTAATGATAGCGCTATATATTTTCAGGGAGGACAAGCAATCCAACTCATTGGATCTCAAAGGCCGCGACTTAATAATATGCCTCGTCAAGTACAATCGAATCAAGTTAAGTCGGCTGTCTTATCGAATCAATTGGTGACGGTTGCTAAGACAGTAACTGCGAATCAGCTGATATTGTCTGGTAACAAACAAGTATTAGCTCCCATAATGGGTAAGCCTCAATGTCTTATTTCTAATTAAATTTCTCGTGAAAGTACGTTCTCTCCGAATGGAGGAGAGGTTCGAAGTTTTCTCATTGCAACACTTGTAAGCGCTTATCAGTCAACGGTATGTATGTGTGATCTCGCGTGTATGCTTGCAGCCGCGACGAAGCCTGTGCTTATGGCGTCGCAGACGACGCCTTCTTCCCAAGTAGTACCTGTTAATAAACAAACTCTATTGACGAAATCCTTGCACGCTAGGGCTTCTACCGGCCAATGCAACCAGCAGACGCAGAGTCTCGGAGTGACTACTCTGTCGCAACAACAAGTACGTATACATTAGCGTAATGAGATATTTCCTGAGTAGACTTCTTTAATGAGTAATATTTTTCTTACTGAATTAAAGTAAAGATGAAAGTCATAATATATTTCGTCAAATTACTTTGCCTGTAAATTAGTTTGCCTCCAACATATTTTCCTATTTATATGAGAAATGTTATTTTTCCATATTATTATTATTATTATTATTATTATTGTTATTGTTATTGTTATTATGTGTATATATATATATCAATTTGATAAAACACTTAATCAATCCTGCAGTCAATTTGGTTCCCTTTCTAATTTTTATTCTAATTTTACGCAGCTCCAGCAGCTACAACAGTGTCTGGCCGCGCAGCACAAGGTCGCTGTCGCGGCAGGAAGTTCTCAAAGTAGAACTCACATTGAAGCTCAGAGAAATTCCACGTCTGCCCCTGGAGAGGATCCCGCCTGAATATGTTCAAAACAATGATAATATTAACGGTCATGTTACGACAAAATAATTGGAGCCCGCCTAGAAGCAATGTAACAAGGCATTTGTACATTACGTTAAGATTGAATTCAACATTTTACGTTTTTGCATGCGGAAACATTAAACATGGATTGTCTCTACGCTACGCAGAATAACAAGAAAGAATTTCAACTCTTACGGGACTCTGTTCTCTGTATATTAATAGAAGAAACACGATATTTTAAAGAGAAAACAGTATGGTACACAATACTTATCGTGATCATGTGCAATAAAATCGTTTTTGTCACATGAATTTCCGCCTTACAATGTTATTTTAGAGGAGGTTTCAATTATTGTATATATAACTTATACACATACGATACGATTTGTTTTATATTAAAAGTGTAATAAATATTCCAATTTTTATTGATCTTACCCCCTTTTCATACCGCGCGATTAGAGAATCTCACGACTATAATCTCGCGATTATACGCTGTATTCTTAACCTACGTTTACTGACAAAAACACCATCGATATTTCAGTATTTTATTTTTTGCCTCTTAATTACATTCGGTGTTTTGTTTTGTGTTTTTATAATGCTTACTTATACTTCAATTAACAAATTTCCACTTTGTGGATCACGATATAAACTTTTCTCCCAATATCTGTGTTTGTATATATAAATATTGATATGTTTATGCTTTGCTTCTTTATCATTCGCACCATCATCAATATGATCAATCGGTATCGGTTAATATTAACTATATTTAGATATTTTCGTATGTGCGTGTATGCACAGTTTTATTTGCAACAGGTCATAAAAAAATACATATCGAATGTATAATACCGCGAGATATAAATTTTTGGTATTTTTAACATTGTATAAATGCAGATTATAAAGGAACGCCTCCGCGTGAAACTAGAAAGTTTGGTAAAAAAAATGTAAATATACACTTATCCTTTTAATAATTAACGCATTAAGTGCCAAGCTTTACTTTGGAGATATTTCTTTTTTCAATTATCTGTATTTCATACGAACAATTTACCTACAGAAATATATTTATCTACATAAATCGTGTAAGCAAACGCTTCGAACTTTTACAAGTTTGATGCAATTATACACAATGCATGCGGTTTCGGGAAGAATAAAATTGCGAAAGTAATATGTAACGAAAGTAAAGTTATTCCGTTTATCGAGTATCACGCACGTGGCACATAATGTGTTAACGTATAACATTATACATTGTCTACATATGTATAAATATCTGACACCTCGTGAAGTATAAAAATCTAGATAACAGTATTGGAAAAATATCAGAAAAATAAATATTTCGTTAATACTTATCACATTATTGTTAGTATCTTAAATTTATGTTTATTAAAATAAGCGTTTCTCAAACTTCCTTTACAAATCGTCCGGAATTTATACGCAACAAAATATTTCCTACATACATTTCCGACGTAATCCCCGCTAACTAATGGTGCTTAGTTAGCTAACCAAATCTAACTAGTGGTTCTTAGTTGGTTAACTAATTAAATTTAACTGATACTATTTAGCTACTATTTAGATACTAGTTAGATACTAGTTAGCTAATTAACGCTAAATAATATTAGTCGGCGATCATTTTTATAGTTCGGTTAAAACAGTAGGATTGTTTCAATTGTCGATTTGTTTATTAGTAGTATGGTATCCCATATAACATCGATATAAGCGTTACCATTTATAACAACTGTGGTAACCATCGTTTGTGAAAAGTAAGCAAGACCTTATGGCCATTCTTGAAAAATAAAGCTTGGTATTTTTAAACCGATTTTCTCAGAATGTATTTTAACGGAGCACAAGAATCGTTCGTAAATTGTGAAATCAGGGAAAAACTGTTTATAATCGAGTCAAACTTAGTTAGTAAACCGGATCATAACGAATTAATCTGTCATTTGGAAAGTTTATATATACTTTGCGTTTCACAAATTCATAGAAAATAAAATAGAAGTGTTTGCACTCCCCACGTTTTTAGGATAGTATCATGCAAAAGATATAAATGCTGCTCTACCTTGATTATAATAATACTAATTTACCGAAACAAAGACTTGTGTATATGTTCAATACATTAATACGCGTGTAAAAAAGAATGATGTCATGTTACTGTACTGGACTGTTACTTCTTATCCAAGATTATCCAAAAAAAGAAGCGGAGTGTGCATACATTTCGTTTGTCACTGTATATTTTCCGACACACTCAGTATAACGCTGTAAAGTGGAACGCAAATAAAGCTATCCCCTAAGTATAGTACTTTTGCGACTTATAAGTATTTTAAATATGTACATAAAACTTATTGGTAAAAAAAAAACCAACCGCTACAAATCTAAACTCTTTCTTAGTCGATAATTATTAAGTTACACATTTTACATAACAAATAATATAAAACATCTTATTTGATTTTTAACACTCAGACCCAGTTATATGCGATCACAAAACATATTTCCTTCCTCTCTATCACCTATTATAAATAATAATAAATCTCTGTATCAACTCACAACACTTTGGGTTCCAATATAACATTATTAAACTTCTTAAGTTTAATATATTTCAAAAACAATAAAATCGATTTATAACAATTAGTTCCGACGATAGTTGATCGGAGGAACATCACAATTGGGCAAAAATACAGAGAGAATTATCCTAAAACTACTTTTTTTTTTAGTTTTTACATTAAGACTGTTCTTTAAACGATATATATGTCGCAGGGAAATGATGAAAATGGAGATTTCATTAAATTCCTAAAGTAGATGATCAAATCATCGGTGGGGTGGGGGTCGTGATTTGATCATCTACCTTAGAGATTTGATCAAATTTCCATTTTTATTATTTCCCTGCGACATATATATATATATATATATATATATGTACATAAGTATCCTAACTATACTTCACAACCCAGATTTGGCATATTTTTATAACTCCGTGGACGACAGCGAAATTACGCGGTAACAAAGACGTTTATTATTACTTCATATTTTCTAAATTGTACAGGGTGTGCGAAAAGGCTACTGCTACAGTTTGATAGAAATTTCTTCGTACACTCTGTATGCATGGTGTACCACCGGACATACGGTTAAATTTTAAATTTCCAGCCCTTGGTCATCAATTCGCTGACGACCTTTCTTTAATCGAGAATGATCGTCATCTCTTGCCGAAAAGAATTAAATCGGAAATTAAAGAGGAAATTGCTGGATTGCGTATTTCGAATTTTAAATATTGTATACTTCCGTAATTAAACTTTCGATGAAAATCCAATAAAGATTCTTCCGTCCTCTGGCCTCTGAAATATAATATGGCGAAAATAAAACTAATTTCGAGTTAAATCATTAACTTAATCGAGTTAATTAATTGCCCAGACACTACAGGTATTTCGATATTCTCGTTGAGGAAAAATCGACTTCGAACGGATTCGCAGCAAAAGGTATATCCGGTGGTTTTGAGACTATCTAGTATATGCCTTTCGACCAATATGTCAGTCTCTTTGTGTGAGATCCACAAGCTCACGCAAACCATTGCTAATGTTAAAACCCCATTAGCAAACTTGAGTTACCATACAATACTGTATATACGTCGCATTACGAAATAAATGCACGTGGCATTACTGGCACATGTTTATCTTCACGTATTGCATTTGTATATGCGCATCAACGATTTATCTTAATTGTAATCCGTAGAAACATATATTGGTACGATTATTCCTATAGCACGGAGACTTTTCTGAATAAAACTCGAGTATACAGATAATTGGCGGAAGTACGTATAATCGCTTAAGTTGATAGTTTGTGACGCAATTACGGATTATTATTATTATTAGATATTCGCTTATTTGATTCTTTCATGTAGGTACGTTTAGTTGAATACGCGCTGGTAATAGATGTTTCCCCAAAAGACACCTTTTAGGAATATTTCACACGTAACTTGTGTATCATCATCGTGCAAAAATACAAGTGATAACAGTAGAGCTAAAAATATTGGTTTGAATTAAGATAGCGAATCTTGCGTGATTCTTTCCCGATTTTGTATTGGATCATTATTTTTTTCTTTTTATTAAATAATTTTGACGTGCAAGAAGTTTGAATGTTAGCTACTTATTTTGTTAAAAGTTGTTAAATTCAAGAATAACACGAGGACCCGGGCCCTCAATCCAGCGATCTTTTGTTATGAAACTTCGTGTTTCTCAGGATTGAGGGGGTCCATAAAATAAAATAAAAAAAAAAAACTAACCGAACTATTGTTTTTGTAGACTTTTCGTAGACGGTTGATCGACTTCTGGCCAACTGTCCGGAGATTTAGAAGTCTGCACCTTTTCCTGGTCCTCATCCGCCTCCCATTCACTTTCCGGATCGGAAAACATGTTTGGACTATCCAATATGTCGTCTAACGATGCGACTGATGCATTGCTCGAATGTACATTGCCGTCGGTGTAAAGAGACTCCGTATGTACTGCAACAAGAATCACTCGTTACATAAAGAACGAACTTACGAAGAATATCAAAACGAGAAATCGTATTCGAAGATTGAAATGATTTCATTAATCGTATTAAAATACTGACCATCTATCATCGGATTTAAGAAAGAAGAAATCAAAAGGATTTATTTAATCGACATTTAATACGCCACTTACCATCATTAATTGTATGCTGAGACAAATACGTGTGCTCATCCCAATCATCAAATTCGAGTTTGCCATTGGTGTCCATTTCTTCCATGGAGAGCATAGCATGCGATCCCGAATCCGTTACGTCAAAGATTTCTGTCACTTGCACCTTGTTATTGTCGTCCATATAATAATACGCTATTACAGCTTCTTGATCGGAAGTTGCCTAACAAAGAGTAAAATATTAAATGTCAGTCAATTTCGCCATGTTTTGTATCTTATATTCTTATATTTGTAAACATTTCATTAGAGTCTGATCACTCACTTGAAGGATACTCTCGAAAGTGTCATCCACTGTTGTGAAATCGCCCATGTTGATCACACAACTTGATTTCCTGGATTCATTCCACGATTGCCTGTGAATTGGAAATATATATTAGCGATGATAACGTCAACTCAAAATTTTAATCAATGTAACTATGCACAATGTTAACTATCTCCGTTGAGTACATACCGGTCGTTATATTGGAGAGTCAAATTCAGATTCTTTTGTTTCTTATACACACTGTCTGCATCGTCTCCAGCTTGAACATCTTCCGGGAAATCTTTACGAGAATATGAGAATTATTGTCAATGCTTTGTGAAATTGACTATTTTTAAATAAATGTTAGAAATCTGTTCCGACAGAAATATTCTTACGGGCTGTTTAATGTATTTAGTGTAAAGCCAGATAACAAGCAATTTTCTGTTTACAATTAAGAATTTATATCGTAAGAATTAAGAAACATGTATACTCACTCATGCCATATTCCGTGATATTAAACTGGCAGTTGATAAGTGGAGGCAATGGCTGCAAATAGACGTGAATCTTCGGGAACAATATAGTCAGTATATCGAAGATGAATTTCTTCAACTCGTCTAAGTTATGTCGTAATTTCGGAACACTGAAAGTAATGATTCTGAAATAAAAGTGAGATATATATACACGTCTATATATGTGTATGTGTATACATATATATGTACATATGCGTATATATGCGTGTGTTTGCCGTTTTATAGGAAATTTATATATAACATACTTGTTTTTTAGGAAATAAATATCTTGTGAACATTTACACACCTTTTTGAATTTTTCTCTGCACGCTAAAAATATTTCTACGATCTCTTGCGTCTCTAAGGTGTATTTGTAAAGCGTAAAATTAGCAAATAATTTAAGATAAGCTGAGATAGTCGAAAAGGTATAGTGATGGTGTTAATAGTAGCAATTATAAGGCACACATTTACAATTAATGGTTATATTATTTTAGATAATAAGCTGATAATTTCGTAGGCACACGCATGAAATCGAGAAAGCTTTGGGATGCTTACCCGGGAGGTGTTACGTGCTTAGAGCAAGAAAACGTCTGTTGTGGCTTATGCAGAACATTCCCGATTACCTTGTATTCCAAAGAGCGTGTTTCTATCTTGTTACCAATCAGACTATCGACGACATGCATGAAGTTAAACATAATAATGAATGTGGTTAAATGAGCTTATGCGAGCACAACGTTCGCAACACTATCAACTGACGATTGCTCTTTGTATTTGATATAAAATCTTAGAGATGTGAAAGCAAATCTATCTGAAAAGGAGCTGAAAATCCCTGCCACACTCGATCGTTGTGCTCGCTCTTGCATATATCCGATGAATGCGATAAATAATAATCGTGATTGGCGAAGTTGCACCCTGTCGGTTGAATTTGTAATCAATAGCATGCAATTGCTCATGCAATGCAATAAAAAGTGCATATATATATATATGGGTACATGTCTGTGTGTGTATATGTTGTGTGTATTTCAACGGTTACTTACTTTGTCACGGTTGCATACATTATATCAGCCGGTATCGTGCAGGGTAAACTTAGTAACGACAACAGTTTTATGCTACGGTGTTTGAATAGCCAGTTAACGAGTCCCTTATTGGCAGAATCTATAGCATCTTGGAATATTGTCAGAACGGTCTCGGGCAATTTAGACACCAATGCTTCCTATAAACACAACATATAGGATGGTGCATAGACTATAGTATATAAGTTATAAATAGGAAATATCGAAAAATTATGAGTAACGAAAATTCTAAGTTAATGAATAATAAATTAGTATTGACAATATTAGGCTATTGGGAAATATCGATCGTAATTAAATCAGCGTTTCTGTAAGGAAAGATCGTGAAGTAAACAGAAACTCAATCGCAACAAAGTTTATGAACTTTAATTTAAATGTTAACACCCGTACTATATAAAATAAGTTATATATTGTTATATATCAGAGAAAGAGAGAGAGAGAGAGAGTATTCTTGTTTTTTTAAGTTATGTTTTTCATCTTTTTCTGTTCTTTTTGTTTTTTTTTCATTTTTATTTTTTGTGTTCTCACATCGAGAGCCTCTCACCTGTCTATGTAGCTTGCATTCCAAACATTCCGGGTCATATTCCATACTTTCATTGAGAGTTTCCGACACGACGAATGTTGACTGTACTGCGAGACACCTCGTGCAAGTTAACAAATTATTACGATGTAAAAATCTCAATGCATCGTCAAATCCTTGCTTACACATATTCGAAAGGACCTGTAACAAAAAAGCGCGTTAAAGTTATATCCATCGCATTAGAAGAATGCGTGTATATCTAAGACAGATATTCGTCTGTATAAAAAGAACTATTCCTGAAATTAAGTTTATAAATTTAAAGCGTCTGCGGTGCAAATTAAAATTAACATCAAATACTGTCTCACGATATTAAAATATTAATATTTCATACCTCGATTTTAGGCGGAAAGAGTATTCTCGTGAATCTGTATATGTTTTGTTTGGACAGCTCTATGCTCATATTGGCGAGATTGACCTGCAAAGTATACATGTAATGGTAATTAGATGTAATAATCTCAACTGTCGAGATAGCTGTGATTAAATTCGTAAATTATTCGTGTTAATTTGACCGCATTACGGAGTTATCTTTATCAAATTGAACGCGATCAAGTTATATCAGCATACGTCGGGGCGACGAGTACATACGTGAAAAAGTTGGAACGAAATGTCCCTCGGGCAAATATCGCTTTCTCCACAAAACGGACTAACGGTGATGGTGTTTTCGTCGAGCGTAGGTAGATTGTCGCTGAAACCACCGTCCATATATCGGACACCGTGATATCGCGGCGGTAAGAGGCCGCTGAACAGCGGCACGAACGAAGTGGCCATCAGAGCCTGCATGAAAAAAAATATCCGGCGTTAAAACGGCAAAGATTCTGATAAGCAGGTCCTTCGGAGAAGAAACTACTCGCGAGGAAACAAACAGGAAATTTGTATACAACTTATCGCTATCGTGAACGTCAATAACACCGTGTGGGCAATTTTATGAGATTTTTTATAATAATAACACGCGTGACGTTAAGAGTCAATTTATATTTCCTCTATTCAGCGCGACACATGTGCATTTATTTTCGTAACATATTTTTATCTCTTTATATCGTGACGCACAAAACTATACGAGTATAGCCAAATAAGTGTGAATTCTTTCAAGAGAACTGTTGCGTTAGATGCGACGTCGACACATCTTATCTATATCGTATGTTCTCAATCGTTACGTAAAAACGTTACGCATGTTTGGCGCACAGCGTGTAAAAAGCGAATAAAATATGTCGGGGAATATATACGGGGAAGATGTTGTTGAACGAAGCGACCACGATTATCAATCACACATTGTTGTGCTCTACATTTCTCACGAAAGATAAAGTGCACTCGATTTTGACGTTATACCACTTGAAACTGAAAACGACGAGATTATCAATTCGGCGCGAAGATGTTTTTGTCACTCCTTACGTTGAGTTGCTGTTTCCGCGATGGAATCGTTTGATTAATTATTAAAAAAGAAACTATTTATCAATGGCTATTTATTAATAAAAGAGACCAAGAAACTTTTTTAGGAATAAAAAAAGTATATCGTACCCGGTGACAACTATTTTTTATTATTTATAACGGAAATTACTATCGAAGTCTCTAATATCCAGTTCGAAAATAATTTCTATCAATTTCAATTTTTTTCACAACAAAGACAAAATATACCTTTTACACGTTGGATACCATAGTGCATGTTACAGAACGAATGACGAATACACACTTGATTTTACTTACTTGCAGTAGATCTTCTCTCGAGCCGAATTGCGAGACGATCACGTTCTTCCCATCGTATACTCTGGTCAGAGAGATGTGCAATTTTCCGCTTACACGGATGTGAGCATCGTCCGGTAAAAACTGAAGTAAAAAATACAATGTCTGTTTTACATAATATTATAATAGCACAGTGGATGCAAAGCACTGTTGATCCAATCGAACGATCGAACTGTCGAACCAACTAATCGAATAATAAACCTATCCTATATACAATTTTAATTTTTCGTTTTTTTGAAAAAAGAATTATTGACAAAGTACACAAATTAATCATGAATAACACGAACGATTCCAGTCCTTTCTACGCATATAGCTGATGTAATTCTCTCGACATAATATTTACACAGAATACATTATTTTTACAGAAAGTACGTAAACATGTTTACAAGTAAATAAGTGGTCTCCATTTTTTGCGTATATAGTTTATGCAATTTTTAACCAAGGCGATAACTATACTTAACGAACAAAGAGACGGATCAATATTATATTCCGAATAAAGCGGATGAACATGTAGAATCTGTAAAAAACTCTCGACTTAAATAAAAAGCGGATCTTTAGTTCTCGAGATATTCTCTTCACATAATGTAAGATATAGCGATATACACCCAGGCTAGAACAAGAATGGCGAATACGGAGAAAAGAAACTCAATCTGCGCGATAACGTAATATATCACCGTCGCAATTTCTCGTTTTGCTCACCTTCTGCAGGCTCTCCAGCATAATCTGATGAACATTGAGAGATGGACTGAACGGTCCGAGTGTGCGTTGCCGCGCCTCACGTGCCACGCGCAGTACATGACTCGTGATTTCCCCTAAAACGAAAGAAAACGAGAACGATTATACAAATCCTAGCAGAACGAATCGCGGTTGATAATACATTTCCGAGCGCCCGAACTGTTCGCCAGATGATGAATTCGTCGGCGGATGCGATAATGCAATCAATTCACGTTATAACAAAGTAACAACAAAATGCGATCTTACGTAAATAATTTGTACTTGTCTTTGAGCAAAATCAATTTTGAAATAAATATCGAGTATCTATGACTGTGTTCCGATATTTATTGTCAATACTTAAAATCTGTAGTTTATGTTACGTATACTATAGATTTTCAGTACGCAGTGAATATATACAGTAAGCAGTGAATATCGCAGCTTGCGTTAATTTGCATAACAATCGACTCTAAATTCACAATATATTCGTGACTTTCCGTAGAGCTGAAAAAGGAAAAAACAATTGAGTCAGGATGCAGCGTTAATCAAGACATTTGTCTGCCCCCGATGATATCACTTGCCGAAAACGCAGACATGGGAACGATTTAGCTGTCAAAAATAGTGAGAAAAATGAACTTCATTCTTGAAAAAGTGAGAAAGCAGTGAGTTAAGCTTTAAATAAAATAAGTGAATAAAAAGTCACTTCTTTTCAAACAATTTGTACGTTAAAATAAAAATAAAAATATTTATCCATTATATCACTGTAAAAGATTAAGAACACTGACCTTATAGTGAAAGTCAATGAAGAGCAAAATTTGAATTTTGGAAAACAAAAAGAGTTACATGATGCATAGAACTTAAAATTTACTTTATATACATACTCTGCCTTAGGCACATATTAAGATAATAAAATTCTTTACAAAAAACAGAAATTAAATTCTTTGTGTATTTTGAAACACGTTTAATTAAATAAAATAAAAACAATACTCAAATCCATACTCAAGTCAATACTCAATTAAGCTAGATTGAAATATATTTCTAGCATTAAGAGATATTTTCGTCAAACAAAAGCAAATTTTAAAAATAAACAAACAAAAACATTTAAACAAAAATTTAAATTACGGGTTTTTCCGATGGAAACAAATAAGTTAGTCAACTTCTTAAGAATAATATTCAATAATATCCAATTTAAAGAAAGCATAGTCCATTGTGTTCATGACGGTCATAGTTCATTTCCTTAGGTTTGTTTGTTAATAATTCGTTTTGATTTGTTGACTAAAAAAATTATAAGTAGATAAATGTGGGAAAATAGTAGTCGATCAATTCCACTATATAACTTGAAGAAAACAATCAGTTTTGCTCATGCCGGTCATTATCTGTTTTTTTTATGACAAACCCGATAAAAACAGTTTAAAAATAAAATCAATTATTCACTTTATGAACACTGCGTTGTCGAGATTATTGTTGCTTTCTACTTTTTTTTAGTCTTTTGTTTTGTCTTTAAAAAAACTAGACTTATTCAACATGATTTCTCATGACCGATTTTTTTTTAAGAGCTCAAATTAAATGAGAAAAGCGAATTTCTTTCTTAACCCTTTGGGATCTCATTTTTTTTCTTTTTCCTTTGATAATTATTTTGGACAATTTGTACTTATTGACGATCTGTAAGTGAATTCTTATTATATAGAATATCTTCTGGAAATGGGACGTATATATCCCATTGGGGCCCAAAGCGTTAAGAGTGAGAAAAAATGACATGTTTCTAAATAAATGAGAAAAAGTGAATCGCTCCCTGAAATGATATTTTCCGAAACATCTCGAAGCACCGCGAGATACTGAATTAATGCGTATCACATTAACAAATGACAAGCCACCATATCGCAAGATGCTTGCCCTGATAATCCGATAAATAAGAACGTTCAAATTAAATTCGTACAAACTTGCGATAATGGTATCTATTTTTCTATCTGTTTGACACTTGATCTGGACATGTATACATAGAAGTCTTTCGACGTCAATCGCGAAGAAGAAGAAAAAGAAGGGAAGAAAGAAAAGATAGTAGTATCGTGCGCGGATCTCACGATCATACGACATTTTACGTAATCTCTTCGCGAGCCTATCGAAAAAATTTATACGATAAAAAAGTAACGGAATGTCGCGTTTTGGGCTTCATCTCAGTGACATCTGTGTGACATCGAACCTCGCGGTTCGACCATATCTTTCAGGAAAAAAGTAATCGTGATATATGCGCACAAGAAACAAACATAAATCGTTCAATTCATTCAATATATTAATATTTCAATAATAATCGTAACAATTAATTCAAATTACAAATAATTATGAAGCAGCATTGAATAACGTAATTACGACACTTGTAATTAACCGGCCACCAAGAGGAAGTTTAAAAATATACGATTGAAGTGCGCTTTTTCTATTTCTTCTTTCGGAATCTACTTAGGAATTACATCTTCGGTCATGCAGGAGTCCAAGCTGGTTCCAAGATTGGTGGATCATCACCGGTGAAGAATTCGACAAGAAGGGAGCAAACACGATCAGGGTCACGTTTGAATATTTTCCAGGCTTTCATGAGCTCGGCATCTTCTATTCAGGCCGTCCGTATACATACGCACATACGCCGCGATTCGCGCGGCGCAATAATGCACGCGCTCACAATTGCGCAATATTTATGTTTACGTGGAGCGTCGCAATAAGTGCGCTGCATCTGCGTGCCAAAAAGGGGAAAACGATAAAAAAAGAAAGAGAGAGAGAGAGAGAGAGAAAGAGAGAGCGGACGGTGTGGGGATGAAATCGGCGGCTGAATATTTCGGATTTTTCAGTTGTCGATCAGCATTGCTGCACACGAGGTCACGTACGAAGAGAAAATAATAACAACATGCGAGAGAGAGAGAGAGAGAGGGGGGNNGGGGGGGGGGGGAGAGATAGAGAGCGGACAAGGCGAAATAGTTGTACGGGGTTATCAGATGATGTACGAATGCCGACGAGAACCCCGCGTAGCGGGATCTGGAGGAGAGGGAGAGGAAGAAAGCAAGCACGAACGTCAACTATCGCCGAGCGATAGAAACAGCATCGCTTTGTTCGCCGTATCTTTCTTTCGTACGGCCGACCGGCCGTACGAGCGATACCGAGACGAACGCTGACATCACGTGCCGGAACGAGATCTGTTTGCGTTGGCATTTTGCGTCGCGCGCGGGAAGATCAAGGAGGAACGATGGCGTGCATCTCTGGTAATCTCTTCCCAAGAGATATTGATAGGGTTGGGGAAGGGAGGGAGGGGGAGGGGAGAGCCTCCGCAAAGATCAATCGTCACACAGTACTGGAAAGAATGCCGATTTTTTCCTGAAATTATTTGTAACCATGCACATCTCTGATGCGTGTGTCCGGCAAAAATAACAGCGAGGAGGCTCACGAGATAAAACTATATGCGATTTACCACTCGTGATTACTCATCTCACTCGTCTTATTAGCAACGTTTAATTATTATTCGCCCCGATAGAATTGCGCCTCGTACACGGAAAAACGATCGTTGAAAGTTTCGCGTACCGTGAGAGAGAGAGAGAGAGAGAGAAATATCGGCCGTACAATTCAATCAATCACTCCCGTTGAAACGTGTTAATCGCGTCGAATTCCTCTTCTCTTCTCCGGCGCATGTACAAGGTGATAAGACCGTCGAGTGCGGATCGTGCCGCGTTGAACATTCTTGGCTTTTCGCGTTCCGATTAAGTAAATACTGTCCGTCAGACCCGCGGGAACACGTGTATTAACGCGATTACGCGAAGAGAACAGATGCGTGAAGTAATAATTAATAATGCATCATGATTGCACTCGTCATGTGCTGCTTGCGAGACAAGCACTGACGGTAATTATGTCATGCGTTTTTTTACGAGAAGGCACGCTCGCGATTGCGGACATTACGCGTGAATTGACGGGAATTAATGAGCAACGACACGTCGGGGTAACGAGAGGTCGTGGGATTTAATTGTGCAGCGGGAAATGACGCACTCGACTTATAATGCCTGTTCACCGTCGACCAGCGAGAGACCGTTATTCCCACAGCGAGCAGTCATTTCCTCGCTGATTTAGTGTACCTGGACTAGTGCCGTATTGCTCGGGATTAATTAGAAAATTGCGATTAATCATCGAGATTTCTCGAGATTACTTCGACGTGAAGTTGGGACTTCTTGAGCTCTCTTCTCAACGAGTTACCGAACTTTCGATAAAATAGAGGAGGAATTCCTTTTCTTTTCTTTATCAGCTTGTATAGTTACTTTACTATCACAGGTGAAGGCCACCAGCAGTGATTCGTCATCCGTGTAATTTAAATGCCTCGATACTTCAACTAGCATAAAGATATATATAAATATTTATATAAATATTTATAATATTTACTTATATATTTATATAGTTTTTTCGTGAAAACTATTTATAACAGCTTGATAGCCGAGACCAAAGCGTGACTCGAGAAAATTCTTGAAATGTCCGCTAAAATGAATAATAATAAAATAATAAAACGTTTCCGATCTCGCAAGATCGAAATTACTTTTTCGTCTAAAAAGAGAGGCGTGTATTTGCGCGAAGTCGCGTAACTGATCAAAGGCTACCGATAAATGCAAATCTGATATTAACGGTATCTGAAAACAGGTTTATAATTAAATGCGTCCACGGTTCATGTTCTCCTTTCGACCGGAGACTATCGTCGAAATCGCGCGAGATACGGAAGGGGGAGTTATCATTGCGAATGCACGCGTGAACTTCGTCATCACACCTGAACGATGATAACGCGATAATTGCATACCGCCGCCGGAATTGCGAGCACGCTATCTATCTGCACAAATTATGAAGATAATAGCTTTTGGACTTTACACTCAGCCTTTTCGATAAACATCGCACAAAGAAATAATAGGATTTACCAGGAAAACGGATAATGGCACGTGGCAAACAATGAGAATACATACACGGTCAATATATTTGAGGAGGGAAGGCGAGCTACCTCACTGGAAGTTAGTGTTGGCATTATTGCATAATCGAAAGGTTATCGACCGCTCGATAGTTATCACACACAACCCAAATCTTCTCTACCAAT